TTGTGCAGTTTTTGTGAGGAGTGTAGTGCAACATGATACACTTCATCTCATGGGACTTCATAATTGTGGAGGAAGTTGTGGATAGGTGGGACTTTTGAACCCATGCACTGTTCCGTTCTCTTGATGAGTGCTCTACCACTGAGCTCAGTACAGGGCAGCTCTACAACACGAGGTAAAGACAAGCCCCAAACTCCCTGCTATAGCTATATGACACAGAAACCAGTCAGAGGCGCAGCAGAGAACGGAACAGTGCGTAATGGCCCCCAAAGACACCAGAAGCACGAATGGATGCAACCACAATGTCATTATAAGGGGGGTCTGATTGTAGTAGATATCCTGCCAGCTTTTTGCTTGTTTGATTATTAAGACCATAATTATAATACGGCTTATTACTATTATAATTATTATAGCTACACGATGCAACTTTGTTGCGTGATACAGTGCATGTGTATTCAACATCAAACGTATGAATATGATTGGTCCAAGGAGAACTTAGGAATGCTAGTTGTGTTAAATAAATAGTCTTTGAAGTTGAATGCATAATGAACGTTCTTTCTGGCCTTCGTAAGGTGCTCCCTGTTTGTCATGGGGGGAGAGAAGAGGAAGGATATACCCTTTCTCCCCTCCCACTTCACATGTTTCCTCCCTTTGTCTCTACCCTCGTTATTTGTTCAAACGCCACACATGTAACACTGAATGTATATAGTGATCTCTCAGTCCTAGTCTACAGATGGTAAGTAGCATTGGTTATTCCAGTGTTTCACAGGAATAGTCGAGGAAGCCAATTTCATCAGTGTCATATTCTAGGAAGCACAACTCATGGCCTTAATAACTTAATTACTCACTTTGGCCTTCAAAGAAACCACTGAATTGTAAGCATGTTGGTTTGAATATGCTTGATGTCAGTGGTGTGTGTATCCAAAACTCTTTGCAGGGGAAATAAAAGCACTAAAGTGCAAACCCTCGGCGCGAGTCAATAGAGTTGTTGGTCACGAAGTTTGAACAATGTAGTGTAATTGTGCGTATAGCTAAGTGTTATGTTCATTATACGCATGCGTGTTAATCTTTGTGACATCATGTCATCCTTTATAAGACCTAGGCATTTCTGTTATAGTCAGTCGTGATCACTACTCCTATATATGTATGAGCTCAGTAAAGATATATATTTTTCTGGAGCTTTTTGGTGATCCCGGCTCGCGCGTGCTGAGCAACTCTTCGGAGTAACTACACAACACTAAGTAGACTAAGGGTAGACTATTTTTGGACTCATCATGTGCATTGCACAACAGGCAGTTGCTACTATTTTTTAGCTTTTGCAACATCATTGCACAACACATGTCATAGAAAAGCATCATTGCACAACACTATATGTCATCATTATGTCATAAAAAAGCATTGCACAACAGGCGGCTATACGCACTATATACGCAGTCCATTATTCGGCGAACTGTGCATGCGCGGTACCGCTAATTGATGGGTTTGGGAGGCAGCCAGGGATAAGGACAAATATCACTCGGTCCTTCTACAATCTCCGGACTAGGCCTCTCTTTGGAGAAACAATTTGCCACAAGTGTGACGCTCTTTCTGGCCTTCATAAGGTGCTCCCTGTTTTTCATGGGGGGAGCGAAGAGGAAGGATAAACCCTTTCTCCCCTCCCACTTCACCTGTTTCCTCCCTTTGTCTCTACCCTCGTTATTTGTTCAAATGCCACGCTTGTAGAAGATACCAGTTTCTTCAGCCATGTAATTAAGAATCATGCTCCAAGGTCTGTTGATACTCACCATCTGCTGGCCGACCTCCGCTCACACAAGTCTGAACCTGACACTAATACTTTTCATTGTATGAAGTCACTCGTTTTTGCACTTCGTTCTCCTTCTTAACACAATCCCCCCATGTATTGCTATTCATCCCCTACATTGGGGGCAAAGCTCATGAAGTTCAGTTCAGTTCGGTTGGGCTATAATAGTATGCGTTTACTCATGGTCTCCCTGTAGTAGCTCACGGAGAGTCTGACACGGGCTAATAGATAGCATGCGGGAATCGATCGATACACGTTTTTTTGCGACTTCTTGTGCCTTCAACATCCACAGAACAAGCGCGCACGGTCGAGGTAAGTCTGTGCCATAGCATATTAGCTTCACTTGGTTTTAACGCCATAACCTCTTCCAAGTCGTAGTACTTCCTCAATATTGCGAATAAATGTTTGTACTTGTTTCTCAGGCTATACACACAGCATTTACTTCACACTGTGATGATAGATAGCCATGTGGTAGAGTTAGCTTGACCATCGTTTTGTCTAAGTCCCAAACCGACATAGATAGATAAAAAGCTACAAATAAAATTAAAATTCTGCGAAAAAAGGAGGAGTATAGAGTGGTGGAAGTATGTAAGGGAGACAAGTTAGGGATGGAAAAACACGGTTTAAACAAACAGATTGTGAGCATGCTAACAACTCCGAACTCATCACACAATCCCTATTTTTGTTGCCTAGTGTGCCACCCATTTGAGACTCTGTAATGGTGGTGGCTACTCAGCAGAATGACACTTTTTTACAATGCAAAATTGTTGTGTCCTGCATTTTCAAGCTATAAAATGTCCTGCTGAACCACATGTTTTTAATACATCGTAGGCAACAATATGGGATTGTGTGATGGGTTCAGAGTTTTGAGCGTGCTCACCATCTGTTTGTAAACATTGCTTCATAGTATCATCTCATCATATCTTATCTCCCTTACTATTCTGACACTGTCTACTAAGTTCGATCGTGATCTTAACCATCGGCGCGCATGCGCAGCGAGGGTTACTGTCGTGTGTCTGTCTGTGTCTGTCGTCCGCAGGCTATCTCCCTTCACGAGCAATCAATCGCTCCACAAACGTATTCAGCGGCGGATAAACGTCAATATATATATGTGGGGTTTTCTATGAAACTGCTGCGTTCGGGAGTTACGGCTTGAAAACCAAGTGAACGAGCCAATAATTACAAATTAGCACGGGCTTACCTCGAGATGCGACTGGCAACGAGATACGCTTGCTCTGCGTAACTTGGAGGCACCAGAGGTTGCAATGAGGGGCGTGTATCGACTCTCGCATGTTATCTAGTAGTGTAGCTAGCCCGTTTACCGACTCTCTGCGACCCGGTAGGAGACCACGAGTAGGTAGCAGTACAACACATGCGCGTACTTCCGCGCGCGCGTTTCGTGCGTGGCATAATCTGTTCGCGCATGTGCGTACCAAGCCTATTGTTGAGCTAAAACATGGCAGATGCACAGCGAAAGATGTGCCTCACTTGGTAGCATGCATGCTTACCTCGTCTGCAGCCTTTCACAGAAGACTGTGTATATAGGCGGTCTTCCTCAACTTTGCTTTGACATGGAACCCTTCTCCCTGGACTACAACAAGTCGTGACAAGTCCAGTGTTCAGAATTTTGCCAAATTCCAAGCCTGCCCTCCAACATGGCATCGTGTATGTGTGTGCTCATGTACTGTGACACGAAGTTGGGGAGGCAGGGACTCTGCCACACCAATGGTCTCCAATAACCTATCTATGATGGGGGTAGAGTTCTTCACACAACCCTGTAGAACTGTATGTAGGTACACCTGTGTGCACTCCAGCTTTCTGCACAGTGGGTTAGACTACTAGCAGATTTCTATTGTACCATTCCAATCATCTGTCAATTTGGAGAATATCACCTCATTCCATCCTCGGCCCATCCGGGTGACACAAACCCCACTTGATTGCGGAGTGCAATACTCAGGGGGTAGCTGGCTGTGCACCATTCTAGCACGTGAGCTCCACTATTATGTTGTACTTCATAATAAGGATAGGTTATCCCTAACTCTTTTTACCAGCTACTATATACACCTCCATAATCAAGGTAAGATATGACCTCGTGTATCAAAACTACTCAAAAAGAAGTCTGGAGGTGAGTGGAGGAGTTCAATAGTTTGGAGAGAGACGACACCAGCTCTTTTCCTTGTCTGAGCTTGAACCCTATAATGGGAAACACACTGGTTTATCAACATCATCCCTAATTTGCTCTTTACCTCTCAACTGGCTGACAATACCAGGTGAGAACAGTCCAGACTGGATCCACTCCTCAAAATCTGAGATATACTCAAATGCAAACTTTCCCACTGCATTCTTGCCACTAAAACTTGCACCTGTATATACCATAGTCAGAAAAAGTATAAACTTGCACCTGTATTAGTATAAACCTCGAGAGGCAGCGAAGTGACACTACAACAAATTTTGCTAATTGGCGAGCAAAGCGAGTGATTCCTCATTCACCTCAGTGTAACCCTCGTTGTGTAGCGACTTAGACTGTCTCAACATTGCTCGCTCGTCATCATCATTGAACGAGCCCACAGAGTGAGCCACCTATAGTTGTCTGAATGCGGGATTCTTATTAAGGATGTTGGTTAAGCTACAACGTGCTGTATGTAGTGAGGTACACATACCATAGTACCAATGGCCCCCACCTCTCTGGAGAAGGGTGCTGGCTGAAAACAGGTTGTTGCTCTGACATGCAATGATGAGAGGAGTGGCAGAGGAAGAGTTGGGGATGTTGGGGTCAGCTCCAGCCTCCAGGAGAACCTCCATCAGATCAGGATGATCAGTCAGAGCAGCTGCCAGGTGGAGTGGCCTGGGGGCAAATGACAGTCAGTAACGCTGGGTTCACAATAATATGTTGCTTTCCACGTCTTTATCATAATTATTACAAAGAGGATTTTATCCTCCCACGCTGCACGCCGCATTGCACGACGGGGCAATGCGACGTCTTGTGAATCTATATAGCCTAATGCTACAAACTGGTTCCTGGTATGGCATGGCGGTAGTGACTGATTCCCAAGTGCTTAAAGGCACACGTAAAGTATACAGCTGTATGACTGCAATGCTAACACACCCGAGTGACCCGACCTGTATAACTTCAGAGTGTTCGCTGTTCTATAAAGTATCCCCTGCTAAATATTGTAACAACTGTACTGGCCTGGGACTGAAGTTATTTTTTATTCTCATGCCTCCAATACCTGTTCCCTTTCTTGCACAGGACATTGACATCTGCACCTTGCTCCACTACAAATCTCAGTGCCTCTTTCAATTCAGACCTGAAGAGATAGCACATACTATCACTAGACATCTCCTCTAAGATCAAAACTTACACTAGAGTGTTGAGGCCTGGTAGAAGAAGTTTCACTAGAAGCTCATCCAACTCCTCAGCTCTAAATAGAAAGTCTTTTCCAACCAGCCTGTGGATAACGGTGGATATTGGTAGTATTGAAACATGGCTATATATATAGTTAATGTTACCACTGAGAGCAGTGCAAGTGGTTCCCAGTGATTGCCAAGTAAGGAAGGCTGGACAATGTACTCTGTGTGCAAACCGGAAAGCACGGCTCAATCAATTAACAGTGAATGTACTGACTTCATCAAGGAGAGTGTGAAGATCATCCTGACTGAACCCAACCGTTGCTCCACAAGTGAGGAGAGAATCAATGACTGGTGTCAGCCCAAAGGCAACCGCACAATGGATTGGAAGTTGGCCCTGTGCAAGATAAAGTGTGTTGATAATTTACTTGTCGAAAAGGGGGATTGATAACAGTGCAGAATGGGATAATTATGCAAACACAGGTTATAATGGGTATATTATACATAGTGTGTAAGTGTATTCAAATTTCCCGCCCTCAGCGGTAGCGCGCAGCCGCGCTAACAATTTGTCGTCCGTGCGTTAATTAGAAGTGAGCGCCTCCGGATCCGCCATTTTTGTTTGGTTTCTCTCTCCTCTCGTCGCCATGGAGCAACAACCGGCTCCCAAGATCCAGCACCAGAAGTCTTACCCCGTGGAATTCAAACTACAGGTCCTCGACTGGTACTACAGCAACGGGAAGAACAAGCTCAAGACGGCCACGCATTTCAATATCCACACTAAGCGCATTCGCGACTGGGAGCTGAACGAGGCGTTTCTGAGAGCGCACAGCGACTCTCCTAGGCGCCGATTCCGCATGGAAAAGGCCGCCGCCGACACGTACGGAAACATCGGTAAGAACCTGTTCCAGTGGTACGTAGAAGAGAAGACCCTGGGAACGGAGCACTCGTTCGGAGACCTAAAGAGCAAGGCGGTCCAGCTGGCAACAGAGCTAAACGCCCAGGAGTCGTTCACCGTGTCTGACAGCTGGGTGCGGCGCTGGAAGAAGAAGTATGGGGTCGAGGACTCGGGTAGCGGGAGACGGAGGGCGGGAGGCGGCGGTGGCGGGCCAGTTGTGCTGGCAGCTTCAGCGGCCATGGCAGCGGGAGGGTGTGAGGAGGGGGTTGTGGAGGTGGAGACAGGGAGCCTCATGGAGACTGGTGGGGAGCATGGGGAGGAGGTCATCACCCTACCATCCATCCTCCAAGTAGAGGTAAGAAGGCTACTGGTATCCGACGGCTCACACTAGGAGTGAGAGTGCTGTATGCATTTGTGACTTGATACTCGAAGTGGCACGTCACTGATAGCCAATCTTGTGACGAATGAAGGCAAATGAAGAATTTACCTAGTGTTTTGTAGTGTGCAGAAGGTAAGGGTGGGTAACTTGGAATGGCGCGTTATTTGGAATATGGCATCGGTGCTATCCACAGAACAAGTCCTAGTGAACGTAAGAGAGGGCTTCAACCATTACATGTGTACATATCAGTGGTAGACAACTGAATATCGCCAAACCTGCAACCGAATAATATGACGTATTCCGAATTACCAATTATATACCACCCTTACCTTAGCCTGAGAAATAATGTGCAATTTTTAAAATGGTGAGCCAAGTCAAAAGGCTCGGTCTACATAGGACATAGGTAATATACATAACTGCTCATTGTTATGTAACATGCAACTTTGACAGTGTCTTGTCTCCCCATCTTCTCTATGTATATGTATGGCTAGACTGATGTGTCTGGTGAGAGCATTGTATACGTGTCAGAGGCGCAGCCCCTGGCCCACCCTTCAGAGGAGGTGATTGACATGGTGGAGAACCCTGTCACCTCAGACACTCAGGTAAACTACATGCAAAACCAGTGTCTCCCCATTATTACTCTGATTGTGACACTGGTCTCAGTCAAGCCTGAAATTCCCTAGTAGGAGCAAACAAGTGGTTCAATCAGTGTAGCTTTCCCATATCATCTATGTATGTCCATCATAATTCCAAGTCTAGCACATACATAGCCGTTCCACCAACAGAAGGATTGGAAAAGGGAGCATCTTGTTAGCCTCGGAACCCTGTTCACGTGGAGTATAGTAGAACGCATGTGGATGCGCGGAATAATTGTGCTCGGGTGATTTCTGTGAAGAACGGGGAAGGCCTGTAGACACTGCTCCTGCACAATGGCAGCACTTCTACAGATACCAGGAACACTCAGGAAGGCTGGCTTGTAGGTAGGTAAGTATTAGGAAAGCAGCTGGCGTTTACCCGTTCCCTTAATGTGGTACCGTTTCAGAGTGTATGCTAATTGTGCGCAGTGTTTACCCTCACATGATGCTCGAGCCCAGGCCTTCCCCGTTCTTTGTGGAGAAGCCCACGCACAATTACTCTGTGCATCCTCGTGAAGGCCTGGCTTCAGAGGCCACATCTGGTAGCTTTGATGTCAATCTTGGTCCTGAAGACATTGTGAACTGCTTTCAGTGATGCATACAAGGCCTGCCTACCGTGTTCATATATAAATGACGTTGGGTAGCCACCTGACTAGAGATCACTGGTCTAAGAACTGAGACTGAGAAATGTGTCAGACCTCTGCTCCAACTTTTCAAGAACATCATTACAACCACCCCCCAATGTAATTGACTATGATTTTTCAAATGGGGCAGACTAGCATCTACAGTCAGTGTGGTAACTCAACGAGCGGCATTACGGCCATGATACACGATTAATGTTGTTGCGTGTAACAATATTATTGCGTGTAACTTCGTTTTATGGGTGTAGTTGGTACTTGAGATGCTGCTCATGTCCGCTTGACACATAGATTAGCATGTGACTCAATGCAAGTGAAGCAGTGTATGTATGTAGTGTAGCTACAATATGTATGACATTGTGTCTTTCTCACGACAGAGTCATGTTCAACAGGTTGGTGGTGAGACAGGCTTGTTGCACACAACCCCCGCCATCCCTGCTTCTGTCACTACCGTCCTCTCCATCCCTGAACCAGGTAATCCATTGGCGGGTAGATCTAGTGGTCTGAACTGTGCCGTTTTCTGCATGTAATTACTCGACAAAGCTACAATTTGCATGTGCAAACATCATGTTAGCGGTTCAAAAATTTCTTCGCTCGCCAAAGATATCATTGCATTCGTTTTAGTATACATCATTTGCGATTCAACTGGGGCGTCATTACCCCATTGAGTGTGATTTTTGTGGTTGGCGAGCAGGAGTAACAACGAGTAATGACAATGATGGCCTGGTCTGTGAAGTTTAAGACCAAACTATTCTTAGGCGAAAAAGCATTAGAGTGACATCGCCTCTTACCCGGCTCAAAGGCAAGGTGGCTTTGTAAAGTATGATGGATGTGATGTCATAGTAAAACCTGTGGCTTTCTTCTGTCTTTCTCTCGTCCCCACACTGACTATATACCCAAATAAGCACTGGTAAAAACACCCTAGGACGTATAGCATGGGCATGTGTATTGTGTTATGGAGAGTTGCATGAGAGAATGTGTGTCGTGTGTCTCTGTGCAGTGGAGTTGCAGCCTCACAGTATCACACTGGGATCCACACTACTGGAGCATCTCCTCATGTCTCTCAACGACACCAAGAAAAAACTCGAGTGAGTATACATATGTAGTACAGGTTGTACATATCCCTACAACTCTCCTCCTCTTTGTCCTACGTTGTTTTCTTCCACTTTCCTCTATCCTGAAATGATGTATAATATTATACCAGCAAGGGTCATGGGTACTTTGTCATATATACTATACCACTGGCAAGGTACTACATAGTAGGCTGGCGCCCAATATGCTGGCATAATTTTTGGAATAATAGGGGCTTCCCAGAAAAAGCCTAATTCTGGGAATAATAGGTCGGAATTAGGCGTTTGCGCGATCTTTTGCCGGAGCTTCTGCCCTTCCGCAGTTTTGCGTAAAGATGGAGAACTTACCCTGGATATCTTCACTGCAAAAAGAGCGAAAATGAAGCGCATCACTCCACGGGAAGGCTAGAGACAGCAAAACCGCGCGAACAAAAGTGCAGACTCGGCAATTTTCCTCGTTCTACACGCCCCCCTTTTTACGCAAGGGTTTAGCGGATGCCAGCTCGAAGGGAATAATAGGGACAGCGAGGAGGAATAATAGGAAAGATTTACGAGAATTGCGGAATAGAATAATGGGTTAAAAAATTAGCATAATGGGCTCAACCCTACTACATAGTAAGCCGGCGAATGCAGTGAAATCTTGGGGAGCCAGAGCGAGCTCGTATCAGGCGCATGAAGAATGGACTGATGAGTGTACGGCATGCGATGCTGCAACAATGAGCATGGAAAGTGAAGAGATACATGCCTTACATTGTCAGTAGGTCCTACTCCCCGTTGTTATCATCCCCGACAGAGTAAAAGTTGGCAAAAAGCCTGACATGTGGTCGGGAACATGGATGACAGTGAACATTGGATAGTTAGAAAATTTGCATAATTCAGACGGCTAAGTGTGTATGCTCGCTTAGCCTGTCAATAAGTGGCTCATCTCTCCTCTTCTATATACATCCTTTAATCACCTCTCTAGCCCTGGTTACCTTTATCATCTCCCACCAACAAATTACCTTCCTCCCTCATTTCACCCACTATTATTATACCACCACTCTCTTCCCTCTTCCCTTTTACTACTCCTTCCTTTTTACAACCCACCACCACAGTGGTTTTTGTGAGACAAGGGCCATTCTACAGATATCATCCTAGAATCGATCATCACTGTTACCACACATATCTCTCTCACATACAGCCAGCAAGAGCAGCTGACCAAACTGGCAATCCAACGAGCACAGGAGGCAGAGAAAGAGATCAACATTTGCAAGAGCCGACTCACGGTCCTAGAGCTTGCCATGGCTCGTTCCGTGGGGGGAACCCTGACCGATTCCCTCATTTCCCCCTCCTCTATCCCCCTCTCTCTACCACTCATGAACACTGCTGTGGCCATCACGGAGACTGTGGCCACCTCTTCCCAGTCGTGACAACAAGTCCACCTCTTTACAACACTGCCTGCTGGCACTCTGGCATCTTTTCCTTACACTTTGCCTAGAGTATGTCTTTTGATGTGCAAGCCCTCCACACCTTGTGAGTGTGTCCAAAATTGTTGTTGTATCATGTTCCGAGTGCGGTATAATTATCCTTTTGATGCAAGATGCAGTAGAACGAATGTGAGTGGAGATGTATGGTAAATACACCATGTTTTACTATCATGCTCTTATATATAGTAGTGGGAGCTTATGAGGACCATGTGTGACAACAATAAGGGACAATTTTAGAAATGTTACTAAAGGTATATAAGTTTGCCCTTATTATTGCCACAATGTGTGGTAGGATAACTCACTGCGTGATTTTTGAGGGTAAGAGAAGCACCATGACCAACCTGCGAGTGGGACAAATGTCACGTGACACAGAACTGATGCCAAAAGAGGCTCACTAAAAGGGAGACGCAGTCGGGTAGTGAGGAAATATGACGGCTTTCACTGCACAAGCAGTGTAACGGAGAGTTGCCCCTGGAATCAACAGAGTTGACGTCTCCATCATATGCCAACATCTCCTACAGGAGAGGGGTATATATATTATAATTATACTCCCTCCGAATAAGGACACCCACCTCTTGACCCACACTAGTAAAGGACACCTGAAAAAAATGTCCCCAAGATATCCTTTATTCAGGGGTTCTCACAAGTGTAAAGGACCTGAATATAGGATGTCCCCAAGACCTTCTTCATTTAGCGGTTTCACCTTTGTCTCAACAAGTGAAAGGTGTCATTCTCTGAATGTGTGTTTAGGCACGGTGAGATACCATCGTGGACATGGGAGCTATAAACACACGTTGTATACCTCTAAGATGGCGGGGTCCCTCGTGATGTGGAGTGGTGTGGCTCCACCCTCGTCACGAATATCTGGTCTGACCTCCTGCCCCAGCAACTTCTGCAGCAGAGAGGACCACATGTGAGTACTGGAGAATTTACCAACAGGGCATACACGGGATGGACAAGTGTGAGTGATAGTGGAAAGAGCCTTACCTTGACTGCATTCAGAGAGCCAGTAGAGGCTGCTGCATGGAGAAGACTACCACCTCTCACACACCTGCATAGTACGTGGGTCATAGGTTTACACAATTGTTTTGAGATGTTTTTTTGTTTGAGCCCCTGCCCGCTAAGCTGGTCAGTGGGTACAACGCTCTGCCTAGACTGCAGTGCAATTCCACCCAGGGCAGCTCGCAAGGTGCAACAGTCAGCCACATCTAATGTGTGTGTATTGTCTGGCGATACGTCCCAAGAGACAGGCTGGAAATAGCCTCTCATGCTGTGGCTAGTATGAATACACTCTTTCGGGTCAGGCGCTGCCCTTCTGGCTAACTTTTCAAAGCAGTTATGTACCACAGGCACATACATAGAGACCACGGTTTTTGTGGTTTAACAAAATCTGCATGTCTGAAGTGTGTATATAATTATTCACCCAACTGAAAGTGTAAGTACATATGTAGTATTCTGGAGGAAGAAAACAGCTGCCTGCACAGCCTATGTAAACCAAATGACAGTGTTAAAATGTCTTTGGAAAAGCTTGTTACATACCTGATGTATGCCTACAAAGCAGAACGTGTTTCAACATGTGTGTTGGGGTATATACATGTACCCATTATAATGAGGAGATGGCCCCCTCTGGTTTTCTCAATTATTTTGTGTTAACAAATGGGAAAAAGTGAGGGCCTGGATTGATACATTACTAGCGGGCATTACCGGCTGTTGAGGCTGGCCATTGGGTCTGTGTTGTCCAAGTGTTTGTCAATATGTCCCTCCAGTGTTCCGCAGTCACTCTTTCTAACGGCCTCCTGAAGTTCCTGGTATTCTAGATACTTCCCTGTATGGACATCATACTACATGGCTGCAACTTTATACTTCCTACCCACAGCTAGAGTAGTCTCTTCCTTGCACAATTTCACTCACGTGTGGAAGAGGGGCATTGGTAGAAAGCCAGTATGCACAATGTGGGCTTAGGACTTAAGGCTATACTGTAGTTCTCGGGACATAACTTATCGTAGACTGAGCCAGAGTAGAATTGTACTCAGATAGTACAATGTAGGCTTATGGTGTGATGGACACCAATCAGAGTGCAGATTTCCAGATTTATTATTGACCCAATACTCTACAAGCTGGTTTGTGAGTGTGGAATATCTTACGAGAGAGAAAGACCTTTAGGTCTGAGTTCCTGGTGAGGTCCAAGGCAGTCTTGCTGAGTCGGTTCTTGACATGAATATCAGCACCCCACTCCAGTAGCAACTGCAAACATGTGAGAATTCATGAAACAATCACAATTGTGTTGTATATATACAGGCATTTTTTAGTTTCAACCAGACAGTTTAGTTAGAGCCCTTGCACAGCTGTTTTTCCCAGTGAGGCTATGCTTTCCACACTACCTCACTTCCCCACAGAAAGGCTTCTTGCCACAAAGGCCATGCAATAGTAAGTTGAAAGTCCTTGTGTCTTATCTTAGCCACTTCATCCGGGGAACCAGCCTCACATTGCTTCCACAGCATACATCACATGATGCATCGAGGCCACCTACAAAAGTCAGAACAGTGGTTCTGCTATCTTATTGGAGATCTCAATTGGACCAAGAAAATGGTCACCAGAGCCCTATCCAATGTGACAGAGTGGGTGGGTTACCAGACTAGCTGTCTTGTGAAGCCCCTCAGTAGCCAGGAAGAAAGGAGTGCTGCCAGCATTGTTGACTGGGTCCACATCTGCTTCACTCTCTAGTAGGGTCATCATTACTTCCTGTGACACAGCAGTGATGTACACACTTTACACCACAGTGGTAGTCATTACTGTACTAGAGAATACTAACGAATTAGTCAGTTAGTACAGTAAGAAACTGATCCCCGGTATCGTTTTTTAGACTCTATAGCAGTGTCTGGTACGTTAAGAAATGAGTAAGGATGCTCCCTCGACTACGTCAAGACTTTCAAATACATAAGCTAGGTAGGCAAATACCTGTCGCAGAGGTATATACTTTTTCTCAAGCGTTCACACTGAAACTATCCAATATACGTGGCGCAAATGCTTGCGAGGCCCCCTGAAACAATCTCCAGCGTTTTTATGGCAATCTTCATATTTTACTTTAGACCTGGCACATGACGTGTACTAATGCTTTTGCATATGATAGCGCCCTGCCTTCTCTGCCTTTACACAGATGCATATGTTATACCTCACATATCTGGAGATGTCGACGCAAAGTGACCTCTTGTAGCCTTAATCTCAAAGGGGATTTTTTTTGTATGTGATGTATGTCTAGTGTCTCAGTCAATCGTGTTTTAGTAAATATTATCCTAGCCTTCCCTCACACTCGGAACAAGGCTAATATGGAAATATGGAAAATGTTCATTTAATTGAGCATAACAAATAATACTATACATGACAAGAACCCATGTGTGCGGACAATTGTGTGTTGTTCTATATTAATGTAAGGGTGAGAGTATACATGGTGTAGTGGGTCACACTAACCAAGTGTCCCTGACGGCTGGCAATATGGAGTGCAGTGTTCCCTGTCTCTGTGTCCCGGCCATTCACAAACTCTTTGTCCCGTTTGAAGAACAGCAGCTGTACATTATGTGTAATCAATCACGTGTAAGAAAAGGTATTATAGTGGAACCTCGGTGTTCAATTGGGACCTGAACAAGTGCCTGGATTAGTGAGGTGGCTAGGTTTCAGGGTAAGTAGACACATGCATAGGTTTATCAAAAGCTTTTGGGTGCTTTAGCGAGGTGACTGCATTTCAGAGCGAGGTTCCACTGTATGTATACCCAGTTTATAAGGCTGTCCATACATGTACGTATTACAGTAAAGGCACAGGATTTACTATCACTGTTTGTCTTTATACACACCAGTTTCTTAACAGTGTCCAGCTCGCCTATCCTGGCTGCTCTGAGTAGCTGCCTTCTGCATTGAGCAGAAGTTCCGGGAAACACCTGGTAGAGAAACCTGTGTGTGTATATTTGGCACCCTGCTATAGATGATATAACTAAGTAAACATTTACTTACCTGGTGTTAGCTTTCAGTATCCTGTTTCTTGAAGCACTCTCCACATAAATCTTTGTAATGGAGTACGTAGGCGGAAGGATAAAAATAATACAAGGTGTTTCATGGTGGACGTCTTAATTCAACAAAATTTCTACATTTGTGTAAAGATTAATTTCGATTCCCTGAACTGCAGGACACTGAGAAAAACAAGCCACTGATTAAGTGTGTGTCCACAATCACGTTTAATATGCCTTTTATGTACATAGGTACTGTACATGTGCTGTTTGCAGTCTCTATCCTCAGTCTGGATCAATACCCATCCTACATACCATGTACAAAGCCTGTGGCAACTGCATGTAACAGAATTTGATTCCTCTTTTAAGGAACACTTATGCACCCATTTAGGCTTCCTTAAACAGGATCATATATAGTCTGCCTAGAACAGCCAATCAATGTCATGTAGTTTGTGGGTGGGGCAAGAAGATCAATTTGAAATCATGGATCTGACATCTTTGTAGGACCGGTTTTTATACAACCAGATGCTCTCGTTTGTAGCTGTAGGTATGGTACTACGTAGGTCTTCCCCTGCTTTGAAATTATGATAGCTGTGTACGCTTTAGAAAGGTCAAAGGGTTCACCTTGTACAAATTTGCCATCATTAAAATGGGTGGGTGTGTTTGTTGTGCCTTTGCCTTTCTACCTTGTAGTTTTCACATACACACTAGTTTCTGTATAGCAAATTAAAACGCAATGACTCACCAAATGGTCTGGATGTTGCGATGGATTCACTTCCACAATTTCATAAGGATGTAGACCCAACATGCCCCTAACTGTACCTGAAGAAGCAGGTATGTGCAGTGTCCGTCACATATATATACAAATTCCCAGATTGAAACTCACTCGCCAATAACAGAGGTGTTGCAGATATGTACGTACACTCTGCCTGTATACACTGCTATGATTAGGATAAGTGTGCATTAGGAGTGCACTTTGGCAGCCTTCCAATAAAAACAGCCTTGAAATGAAGGAATTGTGTGTTTACAGGTCTGTAACTGATGCAAGACAGTTTGTGGGCAAATGAACACAAGTGCAATATTATTAAGTATGCCCTATAATTTATAAACAATTCAGACGGATTGCATTTCCTTGTTAATCAACATTTTCCTTGTGTCACAGGGAGCTATATGTACGTACATATGCAGGACAGGGGCAAACCTTTGTGGTTGTCATATCCAGAGAAATCTTCAAAATATTCGCCTGAGGGTAAAATGAGACTCAAGCCACTGCACTCAAGAATGATAGTGTAGACAAAAGAGTGTAGCAGTTAATCTGAGCCAAAAAACAAGTAATCCTCATCGAAGTCCCTATGTACTAAAGTACGTTCGCGCTGAGAATACATGCGGAAGTATAGATAATGAGGAGGGTGATAATATTCTCGCTGTATGTAAAGTATGTGTAGAAATGTATGGGATTATGCATAACGTGCATAGCGGAAAAAAAACAACTACGCAGCGGATTTGAACGGGGTAAGCGCTGAACGAACCGGAGTGTGAAGTGCTACATTTTGATACCAAGCGTGGCCGCAAATGGTGCTGGAATTGGAAGTTATTCTAAATTTTCAAGGTGCAATATGGAGGGGCTCTCCCAGATACAGTATGTGAAAAAGTGTGTCCTCCTGTGTTAACCACAAAACCCAGGCCTTCTTATCTCCATTAACACCCACTAGGTCAAGATTCTGAGGCTGTTATTATAATAGTCTTGCGTGGAAGTTGGCAGTTGGAGCTCACCTGTCTTCTTGTCTTGTACCACAAGTCTCCTGTTCGGCCATAGGTTCTCCTTGGAGTCTGCCAGGTAGAACCCACACCATCCTGTCAGACTCTGCACAGGTGGTGTATTTTTTCGAGAGAGAAAATGTTTTGCAACCTTGTGGCAGCTCAGTAGGACTCTAAAAATAGGTAGCCTTTCGCCCATAAAGTTTCACAGAGAAAGGTTTTGCCTTGTTCTATGTCAATAGACTGATCAGTCACAGTTATCCAAGACAAGGCAAAATTCTCTAGCAAAGGTGGGGGGGGGCTTTTGCAAAACTGGTATATATATATAAGTGTAAGTTGTATACACCAGACCTACTATTATTAGGCAAAGGATCATTACTGTGTATCTGTAAACCCTATGCAATAACACGTACGTATTACATACCAGGTTTATTACGAGACTGGCCGTCAGCTTATTGATGGTCATTGGTCTGTAACATATAAAGTCGGTATAGGTTTATTGACCGGAATGTGTGTAACCTAGATGCACGATGCACTATGTGACATACCGTGGGACAGTGACTTGGCAAAACCTGGAGTGAATCATTCCATCTATCTTCTCCTGCACCTAAACACACAGCGAAGCATTTACATAAACCACCTTTCCTGTATCATTAGTGATGCATGCTCCTGGCTGTCGAAAGGAATTGAAAGTTTTTACTGTGATAAAACACTCTCTCACTTAGACATGTGACATACATGTGCACAAAGAGAGGCAACAGATCAAGATATACTAAATGGTTTTTAACTGTGTTTCTGTCTATATACAAGCATGCATGGCCTTAAAAGCCACATACATTATACATTAGCACCTCCGAAAAGGGACACTATGGGGCCAATGATTTTGTCCCTTATCCTTATGTTGGAGGTCAAATAATACACTAAAGCATGGGGTTAAACCAGTGTCCTTTGTAGAGAGGTCGTCCCCATGCATCTCGGAGGTCAAATAGTCAAATAATACACTAAAAGTATTAGCATGGGGTTAAAACCAGTGTCCTTTGTAGAGAGGTCGTCCCTATCTCGGAGGTCAAATAGTCAAGTATTAGCATGGGGTTATAACAAGTGTCCTTTGTAGAGAGGTCGTCCCTATCCTGGAGGGTCCCATATTGGAGGTTCCACTGTATACACATGTATAGAACAGACCCTAGCTCGAATATTCTTTGCTTGCTCGGTCCACTCTTTGCACCTGCTGTGGTTGTATGTCTCCTGGATCCAGCATATCTCTATAGGGTATATACATAAGGGTATGGCAAGAAGCGTGGTTGTGTGTTCAATAGCTGACCTTCACGAATCTTTTCCAAGTTGGTGTCCAGACTAAACAGAGAAGATACATGAGTCCAACGAGGTGAGGTGGCAAGGTGAGGTAGCAAGGCAAAGGCAAAGCAAACAAGTCAACTACACCCAGGACAACCCTTTTTTAAAAAAAGAGCTGCCACTATTGGAAACTAGGGGGGAAACTAACATGTGGCTTTCTCCATCCTGGGCCTGCCTTTCCTGTTGACATAGAACTTCCTGTGTGTGTTGCGTTGGGGAAAGAAGGAAGAGAGGTAAAGTGTAGGCAGGACTAAAGCTAACAAGAGAGGGTGGACAGCTTTTGTCGGCGTCACTGCATGCAGCCAAATGTACATGTAAACCTATCCACAAGTCCAGCAACATACGTACAAGTGCAGTGCTAGGCTCTTTGTTACCGATCATCAGGGGAGTTCCCAATCTTTCACCATGTCACACATGTTTCGGCCTCTTTAAACTCCCGACACGTGAGACACTCCAGAAAAGGGCGAGTTTCCCCTCTTCAAAAATCAGCACCTTAGTCAATGAACAACTTATACCCTCCTCAATTTTCTAATGTCCCACTGTTCATTTTGTGCTCCCTGAAGAAAGATGCAATCCGGCTTTGTAAGTGGTGCTACTACATGCATGTACATGCAGTAACACTAGACCCATAGTTACTAGCATCTTACCATTCTTTCCACTACTGCAGCGGCCTGGCTGTACTGGAATCCACTCGTGAGAACAAAAGCAACCAGCGCAGTCGTGCTCCTTTTAGTGCCCTGAGAAGAACAAACTACCATCACATGATGATGACTTAAGAGTAATTAAGTGTTACTATAGCTTGACATGTGTAGCTTTTCGAGAATTGAGGTGTGAACTCAATTCCTATGTAGGCAAATCATCTGCAGCACTCGTTCGTTTAGAGCAGCACCATTCCTCTCAAAAGTTACGATTTATCTGAGGAAGTTTAGTCTGCACAAGTGTGGTTGCTTGCAATTATGTGTATACTGCATGTGAGTATCCCTAGGCAACAGAAGCTGAGTACTGGGGAATCTTCACAATCCTGGACGGGAATGCAGGGTTCATACAATGTCATTTGCCTAAGGATATCCAACAAATCTGTTGCAGTACCCAGACAGGACAGCATTCACTGTTGCAGAGCTCATGCTGTCCTGTCTTGCCACTGCAACACATACCTCGTATAGGTCTTCAGAATTAACGAGACTCCGCACACCTACTATTTCAGAGAATGCTTCCAACACCAGATTAATAGTCCACCTATACAGTACACATAGTGTGATAGTTAAAGAAGGTTCATCATGTGGTGTATCACTATGTACCTGTCATTGACAAGGACCTCGGAAGGAAAAGTCATTGGCACTAGGGCATTCACCAGGGCACAAAGAACCCTTTGTGGAGGAGGTGGAATGAGGAAAAGACCATGAATAATGCTACGTGGTGTATAACACGCATAACACGCTGCCACACACTATCACATCATCAAGTGCTCAAAAACATTTTGTACAAATCTGAAAAGTGACGTGATCAAGGTGTTATGAGCAAAACATATCACTGACATAAGAAAAGCGGGTCCGTAGGTCGTAACAACCCTCATGTATCACGGTCGGTCCCAATTCACTGGTACAGGGGTTTGTTGTGAGCAAAGTGTGCTATGTCTTTGGTCTGGTGATACATGAAGTCGGGTCTCGACTTGAGCAGAGGAGGAACAAATTCACTGTCGGTTGGCTTCATCTTTATCACTCCATATGGCAGAACCCCAGACGACCCCTCTTGTAAGTCCCCTTCAAACAGCTGCTTGAGTGTACGGACCACTTTCGGGGTGTGGTCAAAGTAAGACGTGGTGGTTTCGTGATTCCAGTCCTCCCAGAACTCGCGGTTACACACGCAGAGAACTGCGTCTGCTCTCCTTCGCTGCTCCACAACCCACTCGGTCGGTGGCTGCCTCAGCTGGCACATCTCGTATGCAAAGGCCTCCACGTTGAAATCGGCCAGCTTATTAACCAGGAAATGGAGAATTACGTGTGTCTCATCGTGATTTGTTCTTGGGGAGAAGACCACCAGGACAGAAGGCACGAGTGTGGACGGAGAGGGCCATGGAGAGGGATGAATCACCTCGTGCTGGGGTGTCACTCTGCGATAGTGACAGTAACCAAAGACTACCACCAGAGTGATCAGTCCTCCTGCTACAAGCAGCACAAGCACCAACCACCACCATTGCCGCAATGATGTGCCCTGGTCCAGTGACAGGCTCAGTGGTGGTGGACTCTGGTTTGGTTGAAGTCCCTGGGCTGCTGGGGGTATTGGTTACTGATGGGACCGTAGTCAGCTCAGGCTCACAGCAAGTGTCGCTATCGCTATCACTTAGGGTCACGGGTTCGGAGCAGCCGTTGGCAAAGTGGTTGTCTTGGCAAGCGCCGGAACATGGCGTTTGTGTGTAGAGCTTGACGCCTTCGCGATTAGTGGTATGCAGAACCACTGTTGTAGTGTTATGGATTATGAAGTAATGTGTGATATTGTCCACTGTAGAAGCCAGGTAGTAAGTGTCTGGGTCGGATTGAGAGGCAGCAGAAGGATCCATCTCTAGAAGATGGCAGGCATTTGGGTCTCGGTAGCACGGCCTGTCCCAGGAGAGTCTTGTAACTGTGCCAACCACATTCACTTTCAAATTCCTCGGCCTCCCATAGTAAGGTATGGCACATCTTGAGCGACTGTAGGGAAGGCCATTTTTATAGTCTGAACAGTTTACAGGAAAGTTTGATAATGATGTTCCAGCAGATGAACCACCAGTTACTGGCGGACTCTCACGCTCCCTATGTGGAAAAGTGACAATAGATGCCTGTATGGAGTTCAACCTGTTGTTACCAGGGTGATACTCCACCGTTAGAGAGTGTTCTGTCAGTCTCAGTGTACCATTGATGCATACGCAGTAGTAGTGGCCGGCTGAACTGGCCCCGGGAGTCTTTACCAAAAGTCTAAACACTGCCCCGTCAGGTATCGAGTATAGACTTGGGTACGTCCAACCGACGGTAATATTGTAGTGCAGAGTGTCTACCGGAGTGTAGCTCATCCTGACCTCGTCGTCCACATGGTACTCCACCACAGCACTGTCACTCACTGGTCGCGGCAAACAACCGCCAGCGTCCCAGTTGTCGTTCGGTTTATCCGGGCAGTAGCCAATGTACGAACTGTCCTCCGCGAAATTAGGAAGCCCGGTAATGCTGTAACTTCCATTGTCGTCTACCACCACCTTACTGTAGTTCAGTTTACTGGCAGGGCAGGCATCGGTCTCAGTGTGGCAGTCAGCTTCAGAGTTACCCCACTGGTCCACACCTACGCACTCGGGCGACGGGACGGACCAACAACGCGGCTCTGTGGTGATTCAAGTTCAACAGCATCGCAAGTGAGGGTCGCTGTGGATCGCTGGACAAGCGTCACTACCAACAACAGAAGCACACCCAACTTCATGCTTCTTGGCTAAACTTCTCACTTCCGCTACACACCCCCATCCGTCGCGAAAGATTATTTTTAGTGGCCAGTGCTGCCCGACGGAACCGGAGTGACAGACGGAGGGGACTATGACTACGTTGGCCGCCGTGATTGCGATCGTCTCGACCTGCAGCTGCGTCGTATTAGGGCAACGGGTCTCCTGCGAACCTGGTGCCTCTCCTCACCCAGGACCGACATGTCGCCCTATGGAACAAATGGATGTGCATTGCAGCAGCAACTTCAATAAGTGCTTAGACCGGTGTTTTGGGCCAAATGCCCGTGTGGTCGACAATACCGTAAGGGGTTGCACTCGTTGTAGGCCTAACGACTGCAGTGGTTGTCCTGAGGACTCATGTACTGGAGGTCGTTGTAACGGCTCCACCACCAACACGAATGTCAACGTCACTTACAAATTGGTGCCATACAAATTTAAATACTTCAAGCTGTCTGTTCAACTTCCTGCAGTGCCTAGAGTGAGGTATTATACCCTTGAGCTAAAGCTACATCCTCGTAATCTTCCACAGTGTGTCTGCACCAATGAAACATCTTTTGACTTTACAATTAAATACCAGCTGCGTGCAGATGAACTGTCACTAAATGTAAAATCGCTCTCTGATGAACTAGTTTTTAGTCGGAAAATCCCATTTCCTCGACATTGCAGTGATATAGAACGTGGAGTGCCCTATGATTCAAACACCTGTGGCTTGCCAAGGCTGCAAAAACCTTACAATACTCTCTTGCTGTGCAACGAAACCCACACAACGATATCTTGGAATAAAACCATGAGCTATATCAGACCCGACAATAATCAGAGTTTGTATATTGAATCTAAAAAGTTCTATCTTACTGTACAACTAGGTGACGACTCCAAAATTGATTTTGTTGTTTTAAACGCATCGTCGGTGACTCTGAACACTACAGCAGCGATGAACATTAGTTTGTATGGCTACACTCACTGCTCAGGATTACAGGATAGGACACTTTCTTTACCTGAAGTTGGTTGTTCACTGCCTCTCCGTATCAGCAACAGAGGTCCTGGTATTTGTCAAGACTCTACTTTTACGTCTTCTGTAACTCTCACACCTCCACTTTACACCCACACCCCCCTACCCACCTCTCTCCCTTTGAAATCAAAGCCAACCGATACTGACAGTCTCATTGCTGCAGCATTGACAGCAGGGGTGGGTGTACCTGTCCTAATTGTAATGGTGACCCTATTTACAGTGGCAATAATCAAGCTACTAAGGGTCCCAAAAAAGGTTTCACCTTTCTCATCTCAGAACTGTGCCCTTGCTGTGTACTCACCTAGTACCTCTGAACAAGAAAAACTTGTCACCATGAAAAGCTTGGCTAGTGTACGAAATCTAAATCCGGGACTAAAGTTATTTCTCCAAGACGAGCGCAGTCCACAGCAGTCCCTTTCTGATTGGATCTCGGAGCATCACAAGAATGCCAGCACTGTGTTTTGTGTGTGCAACAAGGAGTTTGGGCATGACTGGGACAGCAAGTCTGAGAAGGGCGTTGCAGCTGTGCACATTCTGAAGATGCTGTTTCAAGGAGATTGCAGTCCAGAAAAGTATGCAGTGGTACTGAGCAAGCCAGCTGACAAAGTTTTCGTTCCTGCATTGCTGAAGGCTCTGCCTCACATCAACTTAGTGGATGCTACTTCTTTGATGAAATTTACTGTCAAATAATGATCTCGATAATGATGGCCTTGGTTTCCGGACTGTGCGGCGCGGCGCCCAATCATATGCGCGCATACTCAAGGCGCATGCGCATACTGAGCGTTCGCAGATATATAGTGCGCACTGACTAGTGGGCATGCGCAGAGTTCCTAGAACCCCGCAACGTACTGAAATAGTCGTGGGGCAAACCATAGATATGTGCCGCTGCAGCAAAAATAAGCTGATGGCTTGCGCATGCATGCGTTGTTACTTGTGAACGATTATGTAGAGCACCAATCTGCTGATGTAGAGCGAAGTGATTTTCACTGATGGCCAACTTGAAAACTACTTAGCTATGAACCTAGCTCAGTCTTTCACTACACGCCATGCAAAGAAACGTCGTGTGCTTTACATCTAATATCTGAATGATTTAGAGCGTGTATATATGTTGATTATGGAATAGATATCGAAAATAGCAAGTAAAATTTATGATTGTAGGCTTTTGGTTCATTTTTTGCTGTGTGCTGGATTCCAGGCTATACTATGAGATTGCATACAGATTTATGTCGCAACAACTAAGCTCTGGCATTTATATATGAGTTTTACTCCATACACTGCAGGTCTTGGTGAAGCTCCTCTGTCTAAGAGAACTGTGTTCCTTAAAGGAACAGGGCTCTACAATAGCCTAGTTTCAATGTTCAACCATTCAGCATTCACTTGTCTTATTATCACGCAGGAGGTAGCCATAGCACTAGGGCCATACCCAGAGCAATGGGCAAAAGAAGATCAGGGTGTAAATGCTGATGTCTGTCTCACCTCCCACACACCCCAACTTGCCTCTTCCACCTACACACAAATCTGTCTTAATTAGAATTGGGTTCTGGTTATATCGAACAGACCGTCATCTCTATATATGAATCAGGGTTGTTACTTCATGTAAGACTCACCAAATATGCTAAGTCAGCATTTCTAAGATACCACTGTTAAGTATACCACAGAAGTAACCCCCCTCTGGTATCGATGATATGAAATATGGACAGCCCTTGCGAAAAGTTGTGGCCTGAATTTTGTGAATGGTCGTAATGGATTGCCTCTGTCAACGAAATTGATTTATTCCCCGGAGGCAACATGGAATTATGCACCACCACTGGAGTTTGTTGTTAGTACTTAAAATTCCATCCTGCTTCAAAGGACAAACGATTGTGATAGAAATTTAGTCCAATTTTAGGTGTCGTTGCATTCTAGCATGGATTCTGACTTAGAGGTGTTCAGTCATAATCCAGTGCAAGTGCCAAATGTCTGAATCAACGGTTCCTCTCATGCTGAGCTGAATTACTATTGCCACAACGACGCTTCATCAGTCTATCTCACGACGGTCTAAACCCAACTCACATTCCCTGTTAGCAGGTGAGCAATCCGATACGTGGTGAATTCTGCTTTACACTAATAGGAACAGTCGACAACAACGCAACGTCGATATGAACACAGTAATCCTTATGGTAACTTTTCTGACCCCTTCAGCCTGAAACTCTCTTCTGCAATAATCACACAGGGTAAAAAAAGACCACTCCTCTATACAGGGAGGGATCAACTTCATAATCAAACCTAACGCTGGAGCCTATGATACTCTGAGAACTGTGAAAGAATGGACACTTGCTTCAATCCCATGCTAATACTTTATTATTTGGAGAGGACTTCTCTACAGGGCACAAATCGTTGGCCCCATAGTGTCCCTTGTTCGGAGGTTCCACTGTTTACAGGTCAACTCATAAGAGGCTGTTTAGTTTTGGTTGAACCAGGTCCACTTTTGGAATCAGAAGAGGTCCAATCACGGGTTCACTTCTTCGTGGCCCACGGGTCAACTTTTAGTACTGTAAAACCTGAGAAAGTGCTCCACCTACAAACAGGTCACGTGTGACTGAACCTCATGCAGGACCCATATAGCTACAGGATATATAGCCAGTTAGAGTTGTGACAAGGGAAGTTCTACTAGAGAATAAATATGTAAAGATGTCTGAACTGGACGAGTCGCAGTGCAGCTATGCACAGTGATCTGCAGTGTAATTTTTTCCACTGTGGGGGTGAGTGAGTGGGGTGAATACAGAATGACAGTGATTAACACAATTCTGTTTCCGACACAGTATATACTACAAATGATGGTACAAACTGTCTCCAAACCTTGATTTGGAGTGTTGATATACTATTGCGGTACACCACAAGATTATTGCCATGGACATTCCACAGAAACACTGACAAACAACACACCAAAAGTGAGTTACACGGGAGATGCTTCACGTCCAGCGAACTGTATGAGAGCAGAAGTGTCTGACAAGTCGATGCGATGCAAGGCCTTGAGAAGTGAGGGAATGTGGGCCTTGTCTGCAGGCTTGCACAATACCACTGCGTACTTGTGGAGTTGCGTTGACGTGAGAGCCCCTTCAAACAGTAGCCTCAGTGTTTGCACGGCCACGGCACTACCCTCGGACGACGGCCTTTCGTTCTCCCAGTCGCACTGGAACTCCTTGTTGCAGATGCAAAACACAGTGCCTGCTTTTTCATAGTGATCAGAGATCCAATCCACTAAAGACTGTCGTGGTTTACGCTTGTCTTCGAGGACGCACTCGATTCCAACTCGGTTCTGTACAGTGTCAAAACTTTGCAAGATGACATGCTTGTCTTTCTTGGGAGTACTAGGCGAGTATATGATGAGAGCCGATTGTTGAAACGGAGAGGGAGAACTTTGTCTAATAAGCCGCCAATAGTTTCTTTTTGGTTGGCAGCGAAGGGTGAAAATCACGACAACTACAGTCGCAACAACAACTAGAATTCCTCCTGCTACACCGGCAGCGATGTACACCGGTAGAAAGTGATGGCCATCTGGCTCGGGAGATGAAACTATAGTAGTGTGTAGAGGGGTGGAGACTACGGAAGTCAAGGTTACGGGGGGCGGTGGGTTACAAGGAGTCTCCCCACAACAAGCCCCTGAGGTTGCATCACTGCAGTGGGCAGGTTCTGAACAGCCAGCATACGGTACCAACGTTGAGTTCTTTTTGCGATCGTACAATCCGGAGCACTTGTGGTAGGCATAGAAACTCACACCTAGTACAGCTGGAGTGTTTAGAGTCACTTCTGTCGCATGCTCCACCTCAAACTCCGATGTTTTGCTGTCACAAGTATGCACTCTGAGATAGAATGTACTCACATTCACCCTTACATCTTGGTTATCAACAGGGCTACTATAGCTCACGGTCTTGTTCCAAGATATGCTAGTGTGTGTTGTATTGCAGTGCAAGATGAGACTGGTCGGTTTCTGCAAAAGAGGCAGGCCACAAGTAGCACTGTCATAACGTACTTGATCGGCACAATATGTGGGATAAGAGAAACTCCAGTCCCAGGCATCACCCGGAATTGCTTTTATCGTAAGTGAACTCTCTGGGGCTGTCGGATTATAGAGTAAAGTGAAGTTGTGGCTTGACGCGCTTGTACAGGCACAGTAATCCTCGTCCCCCGTCACGGTCACCCGCAAGTCGTACTGAACCCCCGGCACTGGCAGCCGTACGGAAAGGTTGAACCGATTGAAATCGACAGGTTCGAATCTCGGATCAAAATCGTCGATTGTGAACTGAACTTGCTGCGCCGTGGATCCGCCTGCCCCTCCAGAGCAGTCATGATTGTCGGGACAGAAGGGAGGTAGGTTTGGGTCTTCCAAGCCAGGGAAGCATTGACTAAATTTCGTATTGTAGTCGGTTGTGCGGCAGGTTCTCCCCGCAACACAGGACGCTCCGAGTTCCGAAGACGCAGCAGGGTCACAGGATAGCTGCCCAGACACTACACTGCTACGGGAGAGATAACCAACCACCACGAGCACCAAAGTCAATTCTCGCCCCATTTTCTTCGCTGCGCTATCCAACTCTCGGCGGAAATTGCGGCACCTACGCGTTCCGCGCATAGTTGCATAAGTGCACGCCTATAGACGTGGCCCAAGTGGTAATATCACAGTCATAATGGTGATTTTTAGCTAGGGCCATACCTGCTATCAACAAGATCTTGTTCTTCCTATAATAGAGAGAATTGCAGTTATCAGCTTGAAGTAACATTATAAGGCATACCTTGATAATCAACCTCTGTCCATCTGTGGTGGTCTATGAGAGGGAGTTTATAACAACACTATAATTGTACTATGTACACTGTTTGTGTGAAAGTTATTATAGCAAACGCAGAGTGAAAATTTGCCAGTGTGAAAGCAATAAATGTGAAACTCTGTCATGGCATTTTGAAATATTTCTGCTGTACAGTATGAACCTTCAGGAGTCTGTTAGCCACTGAGAACACACACTTTTGTGCAGACATATCCACTGGACGCCTGTATCATGACATACATACACAGTGCCACATAATTATACTCTAGTAGGAATATATATGTACATAGCAGACCTCCTTTGCAGGTGGCGAGTGAGAGATTTTCCTTTGGAGGTGGTGTAGAATGACTGGATGGGAAGGAAAGTTACAAGACAGAACCAGAGATGAAAACCTGCTCGGGTTAGTATTGTAGTAAACCTGAATGCTGATGAACCGACCTTGGCATGTGTGGCATCCTTTGCTATTTTACAAGGTCCAAACTAAAAAATCAATAGTTAGGAATCAGCTATATAATGCAGATACTTCACAAACCGGCAATGGCTCAGACAGTATGGCTTGCAGGTAATCTCTCTTCATAAACCTAGGGGCTTTCTCAAATATCAGTGTGATGTCATTGTTCATCAGGTAATGAAGTAAGGGAAGAATCTGGATAAGCAATTTCATTAGCGGTTAGTGTGGTAGGAATGGGACAAGCACAACTGTGAACGCACATGTTCAACTGATTGTAGAGAGATCATTTTAGAGTCCACCTTGTATCCATTTGGTAGCTTTTTGCTGACATGTTTGCAACAGTGCACGTGAGTAAAAGAATTTAAAAGAGCTATATATTGCACCACACCTTGCTCTTAGAGCATCTGAAAACCAGTCCACACGCATTACTTTTTGGTTGACAGTCAGCCTACAGTATATAGCAGAATGTTCATGCAAACAGAGCCATGTTCAACTTGAGGTGAGCATGGAGGCACCGATGTCGTGAATATAGCAGTAATTACTGATTTATTTGCTGATTTAGGTTATGAGTTTGCTGACACTGACCCAGCGGTATTTGTACACGATGGAACCACCCACAGTAGATGAATAAGCTTTACCCGTCCAGACTGTCGAGACGTTTTGGAGCCGACCCTGTCACACCTGAATCACACACACAGACCAATTCACTAGCAGGAATCAGACACAAAGAGCTCATTATATTGTCTCACTCTGCAGAAGGGCTCTGAGTCTTGGTCCCTTGAGCAAGTCAAGGACGACATCTCCAGCCTGGCAGTCACCAGCAGCCAGATGAACATTCACCCAGGCCGTGCAACAGTTTATCTCTGCTTTCTCGCTCATTTTCTCCAGTCTTTCAACACTGCAAAGCAGCAGCCCAGCTGCTGCTGCTCCTCCCTTTTTCTATGGCAACGCGTCCTGTTCCGGAAACGAACTGGGGGGTGAACCCGAAGTGCGCATTATTTAGACTCTTTGGCGGGCATTTTCAGCTGGAAACCAGGACGGCTTTTGAGCACACCAGTAATCCTCTGAAGAGTGTGTTCCAACTTCCCTGCTAGCAATGGGCTTCCTCAAGCGTTTGGAGCTGGAGAATTTCAAGTCTTACAAAGGGTTTCAGGTGATAGGTCCTTTCAAAAGGTTCACGGCCATCATCGGGCCCAATGGAGCCGGTAAAAGCTTCCGTAGCGTTTGATTCATCGCAGTAAAGTTCTTTTGCTCTCTTTTACAGGTAAGAGCAACTTGATGGATGCGATAAGCTTTGTCCTTGGGGAGAAAACCCAGCATCTCCGAGTCCGTAACTTGAAAGTAAGTTGTTGAACCTGGGTTTGAAAGTAGTAAGAGTGTGTAATTGCGGGACATACAGTATTGTCTGTTGCAGTTTGACTCTGTGTGTGGTGGGTTGTTCTGTGTATGTAGGATCTGATCCATGGGGCGCCCATCGGTAAACCGGTGGCATCCAGGGCCAAGGTGACTGCAGTGTATGGCGAGGAGGGAGATGAGGAGGGAGAGGGGCGTGAGGAGGACATCCACTTCACCCGAATGTGAGCTTTTGTTTGTTTCTGAGCCACTTCATCACCACAATTACAAAAATCTGGTGTGTATACAATGTTTTATAATGATGTTAGATTTGAACCCCTACCTGCTGAGTTGCCTTGGTACAAGCTCAGCCGGTAGAGTACCCCGCTGTGGTGTGGAGTTTTGTGGGTTATAATCCCTCCGCCTAGGGCACGAAAAAAGAGTTGAGCTATATATGTGTATAGTTGTGTCAACAGCCTGTCTTAACATCGTGAATTTAAATTTACCGTCTCGTCATTGGCTACAGAATAGTTGGATCTGGAACAGAGTATCGCATCAATGGGAAGGTGGGTGTGGGTGTTGATGTCTTTGATGATGCCAGCTAGCAGTGCTGGTTGTGTGTGTAGATTGTGTCGCCATCCGACTACCAGCACAAACTAGAGACTCTCGGAATCCTTATCAAGGCCAAGAACTTTCTCGTCTTCCAGGTAGCCCCTGTTCGTTTGTATATGTGAAAATCAAAACTTTTGTCATATGCAGTATGCATACCGTCACATCTGTGTATGTACAGTATGCCTCTTACATATGCTTGCTGTAACCATTGGCTCTTTGAGCATGCACAAGTGTCCTTTCTCCTTGGGGTAGTAATCAGTTGATACAGGTATTGTAGCATGCAGTAGTAGACTAAGATACCAATGCCACTATGTGCAGGGAGCAGTGGAGTCTATAGCGATGAAGACACCCAAGGAGAGGACTCATTTGTTTGAGGAGATCAGCAGATCTGGGGAGCTGGCCAAAGAATACGAGAGAAAGAAGGAGGCTATGCTCAAGGCCAACGAACTCACCAACTTCAGCTATCACAAGAGAAAGGTGTGGTTTCATGTGTAAACTCTTTACAGGCAACACAGAAGTGCTGCGTTCTGGCGTCAAAAGAAGGCAATAATCCATAATTGCGCTGGCTTACCTCGACCTGATCTGTATATACTCACTCTCTGTGTGGGCACGAGATGTTACAACAGAGGGCATGTATCAGAGTCCTGGATTCTATCTACTAGTGTAGCTAACCTGTTTCATACCAAACTCTCCGCGGGAGACCATGAGTAGGACGCAACGTCCAGCCCATTTAAAAGCGGTACCACGCATGCGTATTAGCTCAATGTTTCAAATGCACTGAGTGTTTTGCGCTTTAGTGCTTTTCATAATCTTGTTCCTCATTTAGGGCATGACACTTGAAAAGAAAGAAGCACGTGCCGAGAAAGAGGAGGCAGAGAAGTATCAGAAATTTCAACAAGAGTTGGTGAGCTACACTTCCCATCAATCATTGAACTAAGAATGCATGTGGTATTGACTGTACTCCTATTATCCGTACTCATTAACCCTCGGCGCGCATGCACAGCAGGGGTTACACTACTTGGTCTGTCTGTCTGTTCAGCTATTCTCGCACTACAGGCTACGAGGCGGCCCATGAGCGATACCAACGGCTTCAGAACTACGCTAAATGAAACGACTGCGTTCAAGATATATGCCGTGAAAACAAGCGAAAAAGCCAAAATGCATAATCACACCGGCTTACCTCGACCGATCCACTTGCTCTGTGTACCTTGGAGGCCACAACTAAGGGCGTGCATCGACTCATGCATGCTATCTACTTGTGTAGCTAGCCCGTGTCAGACCCTACGCGAGCTACTAGTGTGGCGACCACGAGTAAACGCATACTCATAGCCCAGCCCATCAATTAGCGGTACCACGCATGCGTAATGCGTGCCGAGGGTTTGCACTTCAGTGCTTTTCCTTTTTACATGGCACGTGTGTAGGACTGTACAGGCAGTTATACTGCATGGGCAGAGCTGGTCTTGAGAGAAATGTGTTCTGCCCAGCTCTCACGAGAAACGCGCTGGCTTGCCCACGCCATAAGTGCTGCACAGGTTTCAACAACAAGTGCTAAGGCAAACAAGTCAACTGCACCCAGGACAACACTTGATACCTCACCCAGGGCAGCTCTGTTTTCCATTTTTATCAAACCCAGGACATTCTGCAGTCTAGGCAGAGAGCTCTACTGCAGACGGTGCTAATTGCCTCGTAGCCTGTAGTGCGAGAATAACTGAACAGACAGACAGACAAACAGACCAAGTACTCCAGGTTGTATTCTCGCGATATGTGTACGTATGTACGTCGTCAATTAGTCACACTTAGGAATGTCAATTAGTCACCAAAAGGAAGTGTAACTTACGTAATTCGTAGGAAGTCTAGCTTCCGCCGTGCGCGCAGATTCGTAGGAAGTCTGGCTTCGCGCGCAGTTGTAGAGCGCGCGCACGAGCGGCCTCAGTCGGACTGTTTACGCATTGGCTGGCAGGCGCAAGGCAATTAAAATATGCGCGTGCACATTCCTAGTAATAATTTTACTCAGGTGGCAGCCATAGCACTAGGGCCATGACCATGCACCCACAGCAATGGGTGGAACCATTAACAAACGAACACACACCAATTGAACATGCACCCACACCTGCAGACGGTGCTAATGGTTAGTTGTCACACTGTGTGTTGTAGGCTGAGGCCCAGGTGCACGAGCAGTTGTTCAAACTCTACCACAACGAGAGGGACATTGAGGGCCTGGCAGAGGAGCTCCGAGTTAAACAGAAAGACCTCGAGAGACTGGTATGTAGCACTGCGGTATTGTTGGGTTTTGTATGCGACATAGCATACGTGATGTGTGCCCAAGAAAACACATTTTCTGGGCTACATAACAAAAACCCCTATACTGTGCAGTACATAATGCATTGCATATTTCAGGCCCCTATTACCTAACATATAGGAGATCCTTAATCTCATTTCCTCTTTGGACAATAATATACTCTCCCCAATTACGGTTGAGACTGCGTGTACAGCAGAGTGTCTACTGTGGGTTCGAATCCCACCAAGGGCAACTCTTTTTTTGGAGAGTTCTCATGGGTGTATATAGTTGACTTGTTTCTTGTGCCTCTAACTTTCTATGTCGTATATAGATGATACTGTATATACATTTTTCCTGTGTGTGATGAAGTGTATTATGTGGTCTCCAGACTAGTCGACGAGGTAAGATAGAGGCACAGCTGAAGGCCAAGAAGCAGGAGGCGGCCAAGTGGTCACGGGAGGTGGGGCTCCTTGAGAAGAAGGTGAGGGAGCAGGAGGTGGAGACCAGCAAGAGGAAGCCCCTGTACATTAAGGCCAAAGAGAAGACCTCCCACGTTCTGAAGAGACTCGAGGCCTCAAAGTATGTTGGTGTGAATTGAATCCTGTTGCACTGTCATTTTTGTCAGTATGATTCCGGGATATTTATACCGTCTTTGAGAGTGTAGCAGTGAATGTTTTTTCACGTGTATATTCTTTGCAGGCGTGCTCACAAGAAAGCCCAGGAAGAGCACAAGAAACATCAAAAAGAGGTCAGCTACTCCACCTGACTGGCATCTGACCATTTTCACATTAGACATTAGGCATTATAATAGCCATCATAGAGAGTTGAGAGTTTTAGACCAGTGAATATCTATGCATGTATCAGTTGAGAAGATACATTTCTCATGGCTCCTTGCTGTTTTGTTGATATTTTGGCTGCCTCATTATTTCAGCATAATATGGCCATTCTCCAGCTGGCGTATGGGATCTACAAGTACAACAAGTTTAGGCCCTCATTTATAACCTCCCCCCAAAGTAACCCCCTTAGGTAGGGAAGTCAACTGATGTTGTACTCGGTGTAAATGTCTTGTGGCATGTTTGTGAGTGTGTGTGGGATGGTGGTACCCCAGGTGGCATGTCTGGAGCGAGAGCTGGAGGAGACACGAGAGAGAGCCGCTCAGTTTGAGGAGGAGATGGAGGAGCAGAGCCAGGGACAGGACATGCAGCTACTGGACTCACAGGTACTGTATACACTTGGCCCTCTGGGATACATGTAGTGGCTACGTATGTACAGTACAGTACAGTAGGTTAAAAGTTGTTTCATCGTCCTCATGTTGGGGCTGTTGGCTTTATTGTAAGCATAATCACTAAGTGCGTGGAGATGCAAAATCTTCAGTGGCCTTTGCTTCAAGCTTAGACAGTGAGTTGAATTATGTAAAACGTGACATCACTTGAAGGCTGGTCTCCATAGATTACTCGGTCTTGTGCGGTCTGGACATGTACTGTATGAAAACGCCGACTAAATTTGCAAGACCCATTAACACCACGCAAAGTCTGGGTCTTAGAAACATAGTCTGTTCCCCGGACCGCTGCAGACTGCACAAAACTGAGTAAGACTATATTATGGAGACCAGCCTTAAGCTCACTGAGGCTACTTGCTTGCATTGGTGGGTTGCTTAGCAATGTCAATTAGGTAGTAATTCAGTAACATTCAGGAGAGTGTGCTGTGCAGGTTGCAGAGTACAACAGACTCAAGACAAAGGCAGGGAAGAAGTCTGCTTCACTGAACCAACAACTTGAGAGAGTGCGTGACTTTACTACCCAACTCCATATTTGGGTCTTAGAAACAGTGCCAAATTGTCTAGGTATTTGCAAAAATAACTAGGAAATGCCCCATCAGTCCCAGTTATTGGAAGTGTTATTGGGAGTGAAGCTTGCCCTCCTAGTCATCTGGATGCAAATTTTATATGTAAGGGCACTGCTATGTACCTGTACAATGATGTCATTCGTGAATCGAAACATGCGTTAGACGCACGAAAAATCGAACTGCTCTCTTGCCAAAACCGTGTTGCATTCTTTGTTTACACGTTTGTTGAAAACGAGAGTCTGGTTCCGTAGGTGAGGTTGGAGCAGCGAACTGACGAGGAGGCTCTGCACAGCTCTGAGATGAAGAAACAAGAACTGACGAACAAAAAACAGCAGCTCAGCGAACAGAGGTGTGTGTGTGTGCTGACTCTGTTGACTACGTCTTGGACACATTATTACTCATGTGTGCCACCCCAATAATTGCTTGATATTGCGAGTGAAGTGAGCCTGCTATAATAGTAGTCTGAATGCAGGATTTTATTTCCATATGTGCCACTGGCACTGCACATACGCTGTAATGTTGTATGTGATTCTAAATACGCGTCAAACACACTTGAAAAACTGAACTCCTCACTTCACTTCTCTCTAAAGTGTAGTTGCATTTGTTCTAGTGTATTGATGTTTGGTGGAAATAAATCTACAGGACTGAACATGAGCAACGCCTGGAGAAACTGGAAACCATCATCAGGTGAGCTCTGGACAGTTTGTACTGTACAGAGGGGGTTATGTTGTGGTTGACTTGTCCTCGTGCAGTACAACATCTCAGAGGGTGGCAGGGCAGAGACTAGAGTATGAGAAACTGTCAGAGGAAGTGGGGTAAGCCAGGGGGCAGTCTGTGTGGCAACTGGCTTCCCTGATACCCCCCAAATGGCCTGGCCTGTTTGACCTCTCTGTCTGTTGTGCTATTGTTTTTATACAGGCAGGCAAGCCTTCGCTACAGAGAGCTGAATGACGCTCTGGAGACAGTGCAGGAGAAGCTGAGGGACGCAAGAGTAAGGGGTGGTTTCCTCAGGGGGAGGGGGTCATGGGGGTCCCTGTGAAAAGTGGCCCCCCAACAAGTTGTCTTGCTGATTTTGCCCCCTTTTCAATGAAAGAAACACTATTAGACCAATAGGAATTGCCGTTGAATCTGTGCTTTTGAGTGTCAAGTGCTGTGTTAATGTAGCTTGTAGCATTAACTTCGGTTAAAATCCATACAGACATTGAAACAGATGTAACAAACAGTGTTCCCTCTGGTTGACTTTGGTACAAGTTGTGTAGGCACAGGTGTCGGATTTTGTTTCAGATGTTGTTTTGTGTGTTTGTGTCTGTGTGTGTGTGTGTGCAGGTCGACAGTCAGGAGAGCTCAAGAAAGCAGAAGAGAGCAGAGATCCTGGAGAACCTGCAGCGACTCTACCCTGGAGTGGTTAGTTCTGCAGAACAACCAAGAACACTTCAAATCATGTACATATCACTTCTCTTGGCAGTACGGGACCGTCATTGCACTGTGTGAGCCGGTACACAGGAGGTGAGATCAAATGTACCGCATGTTGTTGAGTGCGTGTCTGTTTCAATGTGGCCAGGTACCAGGTGGCCATCACAAAGGTGCTGGGGCGCAACATGGATGCCGTGGTGGTGGACACTGAAAAGACTGGCAAAGACTGCATCCAGTACATCAAGGAGCAGGTATGTATGTATTACATCCTGTCGTAAATCGAGTGTCAAAGCGTGATATTAGTGTGTTGACTGCATGCTATCCTGTGTTTGTGTAGCATGCTGAGCCAATGACTTTCATACCACTGGATACTATTGAAGTCAAGCCTATCAATGAGGCTCTGAGGTCAGCTACATACTACAATGTGTAACATGGCACTGCATACTCTGACTCCATTCCATCTCTGTAGGCAACTTGGAGGAAATACCAAGCTAGTGATGGATGTAATTCGCTACGATCCCCCCCAAATCAAGGCATGTAAACACCGCAATATACATGTACATGTGTGTCCATGTTCTAAATCTGTGTTTTTACACACATCTGGCTGAACCTGCTGTTTTTGTGTGTGCAGAGGGCACTGCAGTTTGCTTGTGGCAATGCTCTGGTGTGTGAAACAATGGAGGAAGCCAGAAAGGTGGCTTTTGGAGGGTCAGAGCGGAGAAGGGTAAACATCCACCTCACTAGTGTGTATATATATGTACCCTATACACTCACTCACTCACTAGTGTGTACACCTACATATACAGTATATCCGTGTAGATATGTATAGCCTGCTATCCTATGAGTACAGTGTGTATGCTCATACATACATGTGTGTGAAATATGGTTTGCAGGCTGTGTCTCTGGACGGGACTTTGTTCCAGAAGAGTGGAGTCATCTCTGGAGGAGCTGCTGACATCAAGGCAAAGGCAAAGAGATGGGACGAGAAGGTCTGATTGCGTCATAGTGATGGAACCATTCCTACCTTTACCATAGATGCCTTCGCATACTACACATATACAGTGAAAGCTCCTTTATACTGTAGGGGGGTTGTCCTATTTTCAAAAGTTAAAGAAAAATGAGCGTTTGGGACCTTGAAGTGTACCCTTTATCAAGAGTTTTTCCCTTTGTGTCCTTTATTCGGAGTGTCCTATATCAGAGGTTCTACTATAGACACCAATACTCAGAGCAAGCCTCCCTTTCTTCAACATGTTTGTGACTGTTACACACTGCATAGTAGACGGCCTCATAACATAATTATGCCCTCTATCGCTGTGCAGCAAGTGGATGCTCTGAAGCGCCAGAGGGACCGCTACTTGGAGGAGATAAAGGAGGTGACCGTGGTGAGGAGGAAGGAACCAGAGCTCCAGAACCTCAAGCACCAGATGGGCAGCCTCGAAAACAGGCTCTCCTTCTCCAAGAAGGACAGGGAGGTCACTGTAAGTTTCTCACTGCTACAAACTACACATATGTACACGTGTACATACATACCTAGGGGAAAGTGGCTAGGAATGTGTCTTTTGAAGGCATGTTTATAATGTATAGTGTTTCTTCCATTGAGTTAACTATTATTGTTCTCTGGGAAACCTGAACTTTTCCACATGAGAAAGGCTTTGTGTCCGGGTGCATGAGAAGTGCGAGAACACCTTGAAACATTCTATAAGCGTAGGGAACAAGTGACAATGGTTTATGGTGTTGGGAGACAATTGACTGGTGGTTATCCCACCAATGCTGCAGATGGAGCAGAGTCTGTCAGAGAACAGTAGGGAGCTGGAGGTGGTGGAGAAAGAGCTCCAGGAACTAGAGGTAAACCTAGCATGTGCAAAGCTGCAAGCTAACGTTGTATTTATGTCAACCCTGGTCTTGTGTTGTACAGTGTGTAGATTTGAACCTCTGCCTTCTGAGCTGCCCCAGTAGCTCAGTGGGAGAGTGTTATGTGTTAGTGTCCCCTCCTTGAGATGTTATAGCTGGGTTTGTTCACCTTGCCTTTGCCTTGTGACCTCAATTTTTGACACATGTCAACAACGAGGTAAAATCAACTACAACTCTTTCCTTGGATAAAAGGTAGAGCTGCCCTGGGTGGGATTCGAACCCACGGCACTGTGCAGTCTAGGCGAGCGCTCTACCAACTGAGCTACCAGGGCAGCTCAACTCAACAACACAAGACAAAGGCAGACCACAAATGACTGTGCTGTTGTGTTATCTAGTTGTTTCACAGGTGTTCACAAATTGTATCCACCCAGTCATGATTCCCTGACTCTCTCTCTCTCTCTCTCTCTCTGCAGCCACGACTGGACAACGTCCAGAGCTCCCTCCAGCGCCGCAGCTCCAGCGTGGCCAAGGTCCAGGCCAAGATCAACAAACTTGAGGACGAGGTGTGCAAACTAGTAACCGTGTGGAATACTGTTCTATAGACTTCATACGATGCCATTGAGTGGGCACCTCTACTGAGCCTTTTATGGTATTGCACCTCCACTGAGCCTCTTATGGTATTGCACCTCCACTGAGCCTCTTATGGTATTGCACCTCCACTGAGCCTCTTATGGTATTGCACCTCCACTGAGCCTCTTATGGTATTGCACCTCCACTGAGCCTCTTATGGTATTGCATTGAAAAATGCCTCTCTTCAGCAACCAGCACAGCGCCTTGCATGGCATGTAGCTCAGTTGGTAGAGCGCTCGCCTAGACTGCAGAGGGTCGTGGGTTCGAATCCCACCCAGGGCAGCTCTTCTTCTTGTAGCTGTCCTGGGTGTAGTTGACTTGTTTGCCTTGCCTTTCTACCTCGTTACCAAAGTTGTTGAGACATGTATACCGAGTCACTAGTAAATGAGAAGGTCCTGACTGCGTGTGCAGTGTTTATCTGTTATGAGCCAAGAATCATAATTGCTGAGATGTTGTATGTACTGTATGCACACCAAGTATTGCACCATCAATGTTGAACATACAATTTACTTGAGATTGCCGCTTTACAATGTATATACCAACTTCTCTACCAGTGCAGAGACTTGAACGATTATTATACAGGGTTCATTCTTCTGTTTCAGGTGTTTCGTGACTTCTGCAGGAGCATTGGAGTTGCCAATATCAGGTAAATATAGTGGACATACATGTATTATATTATTATGAAAATTTAAAGGAAATGTGTGAGAAAAGTAATGACATGGGTTGCTAGTACAGTAGAGCTCACTCCTATCCTATCCACATTTCACAGAGAATAAAGTTGCAACAGTTCTTAAATGCATAGTCTTCTCTTCTCTTTTATTATTCCTACTAAATGTATATAATTATGGTTCCATCCATTCCGGCCGGCTGCAGGCAGTATGAGGAGAAGCAGCTGAAGGGGCAGCAGGAGCGTGCTAGGAGGAGGCTGGAGTTTGCCAACCAAGTGTCCCGCCTCCAGAACCAGCTGGCCTATGAGAAACAACGAGATACCTCTGGTCTGTTTACTCTCAATGTCTTCTATAGACAGTACATGTAGCTTGATGCTGGTGGTTCGTATAACTTGCACATGTATCTCGCGAAATATGTAATGTATTTTTGCGAATGCTGCAGTCGTAGCATGCCACATACGCTCACCGAGCGTGTTGGTGGAACTTTTTTTGTGAAAGTTACTTTTAGACAATATTTTTAAGTTGTATGTACGTTAAGAAACTGGTATATAGAAACAGTTGCTATGCATAATATAGAGCATTTACAGCTACAGCACTTTTGCTTTCGACCAGCCAAATCAATTCGATGAGCCAAAGTAGTATGTGGTTTGAAGGCAGCATTGCAGAAAAGAGTGGGCGAGAGTTGAAAAGGGTTATACCCCTGGATTAAGGAAGTGTGTTTTGTTCTGCATGGGGCTACACTGAGCAGTGTGGTAGTTCTGGATGGGAGCCAGGTGTACATTGGTGTTTGTGTTCATGCAGCCCATGTGAAGAAATTTGCAGCATCCATTCAGAATGACGACAGCTCCATTGCTACCTTGCAGGAGGATGAGAGGAACAAACTGAGGGTCAGTGTGTGTGGGTGTGTGCATGTGTGCAGCATCGACTTGTCCAGCTACATGTGTGTGTATCACTCTGTGTATCTATCTTCCTTAGGAGATTGAAGAGTTTGAGGCTGCCATCGATGAGCTAAGGGAGAGGAGAATGGTTCTCAAGAAAAAGATTGATGACCAGGTTCATCCCCGCAATTTTACAGCTAATGTATAAGCTGTTGGGTAGAGCCACCTCGACTTCAATTTAAGCTCTCTGGGGCTGATAATAGGACACAATGCACCAGCCCTAGTTATCAGTTGGAGCCGTTCATGATGACTCAACCCAGGTGTTTGTTGTTGCCCTAACATTTTCAGATGCAATAGTGACTAGCCACCTGAACTCTCTGACCCCACCAGAGTATCTGCTTCCTTGCATGCTACATACGTAGTGTGTGCTATGGGAAGGCATCTTCTCTTTCTTCTTATAATAACACCAGCAATCTTTGTAGCATGTACTTTTGACTGTGAGATTGATAGGGAAAAGATTTTTCTATGGATAAAAAAGGTCATTGATTGTCAAGGGGGGAAAAGCCTAGGTTATAAAAGCACAGCAGGTGGCTTGTGTGGAATGCTAGTATGAGCTGGTGGAGATGTGGTCCATCTGGTCCATCTGGTCCTGTTGTCTCAGTAAATGAATGGTATGTGACCATTAAACCTCTTGTAGTGAGTGGAGTACACTTGGTACAGTCCCTCTTATACTTGGTGTTTTGATTTTCTGATGAGAATGATACCTGGGGGATTCCTCCCCTTTAGGACTAATTAGGGTTGTAAGTGCTGTTGCTAATTGTACTGATAGGATGTGGAGACAAGAGAGATCAGGAAGATGCTTGTGGCTCAGACTAAGGACCTCACGTCAGCACAAAAGCAGATCACTGCCATGGTATGCATTAGCCTCTATAATATAGTTTTGCACACATGGTTTACTTCACGAAACATCTATGTAGACTATGAAATGCAAGAAAGGGGGGGGTAGGACGAAAAAACATGTTTTTGTGAACCGTGATTTGATGTAATTTATGGCTGTTTTACTTCGTGGTGACTCCTTGTAGAAAGTATATACATGTACTACATGTACACATTGTGCATCTTACAAGGTTACATACAGTGGTTGCCTTGACAGTGTGATTACACCGTGCGTGTTGTTTACAGGAGACTGAGTTGGACCAGAAGAAGGCCGACAGGCACAGTCTCCTCAAGACATGCAAGGTATATACATCACTGACAATGTGGGAGGATGGGTGAGTAGCAACTCTGGCCTGTTGGTTTAGATGGAGGAGATTGACATACCAATGGTGAGGGGGAGCATGGACGACATTGGAGATGAAGAGGTACAGTTGTTGTGCATCTTTCCCTCTCTTCTCCTTCTGTCCCTCCCCTTCCTCTCCTTCTTCAACCTCTTTTTCCTCTCCTGCTACCCCCACCTCTCTTCCTCCCTCCCTTCACACTCCCCCCCACCTTTCTCCCCATCTCCTCATTATTGTGAATATTTTCCTCTGATACACGTACCACTGCTGTTGATTGTCCTGTGTGTTGTGGCAGGGGGTGTCGGTGGGTACGTCTCAGTCAGCAGAGACTGGGTCCAGCACTGCCATGATGGATGTTGACAGCATGACCAGTCAGGTCAGACTAACGTCTATTCTCCTATGTACATAGTTACCCTCGGCGCGCATGCGCAGCGAGGGTACTGTAGTTGGGTCTGTCTGTGTGTCTGTTACTCTAAATCTCACCTCTCGAATGTCTGTTCGTCCCAGAAACGATACCATCTACCCAACGGGCGACGAAGGTCAGAAGATATGTGGGGTTTTCTCTGAAAATGTTCCGTTGCAGAGCTAGAGCGCTTCCAGCATTGTATGGCTAATGCCGGTAGTCGCCATTTTATCGCTGGCGGATAATGCGCATGCGCTTATATTTAGCACAGGCTTGTATACCTCGACCGGGTCTGCTTGCTCGGTCTATTTTGAAGGCACAAGAAGTCACAACGAATGGCGTGTATCGACTCTCGCGTGCTATCTACTACTGTAGCTAGCCCGTGTCAGACTCTCTGCGAGCTACTTCGCCGAGAGTTTGCACTTTAGTGCTTTTCATATTCCTTGTTACAAGGCCTTGCATGCTCCCTAGTTTAATTATTAGTAATTAAACCAGGGACATCCTCGGACCCTATCAAAGTGAATAAGGGCTCTGGTGACCATTGAGCTATTCCCTATGTGCTATGTGGAAATAAAAATCTCCAATGACATCACAGTACAGCTAATGATATCCGTGATCTGTAGTCCCACATGTAATGTATATATTATACGTATGTACAATAATGTACATGTTGTAGATTCGAACCCCTACCAGCTGAGTTGCCCTGGTAGCTCAGTTGGTAGAGCACTCGCCTAGACTGCAGAGTGTCGTGGGTTCGAATCCCACCTAGGGCAGCTCCTCATTGTTTGCTTTGCCTTGTTGCCGCTTTTGTACATAGCAGGGAAGACCTGGGATCGAGGCCATACACACCACGTTACCATCAAACGGAAACCTCTAGGTAAAACAATAGAGCCACATCTGAGACGTAGCTATTCTTAGTTTTCTTACTACTCACTTGTGGCCCCTCTTCCCGTATGTGTGTCGCGATTTTGTTGTGAGGAGCTTCAAATGTTTTTTCCCCCCTTTCACTGTGTCTATCACCCAGGGTGCCCGTATGGTGTATGAGAGAGAGTCACAGATTGCCATCAACTACGCCCGACTGGAGAGAAGACTGAAAGAAGTATATAAAACAGCAACCTCACAGACATTTCATACTCGTGTGCATGTGTCATTAACGAGGTCAACCACAACCCCACCTTGAGCCTAAACCACACCCTTGCAGTAGAAGACTATGTAGGTTGTTGTGCCGACTTACAGGCCCGTTTAATTTTGAAACAACACTGAGTTACAGCAAACCCAAGAAATTGCCTCTGGGGGAGAGGTCTATAGGAAAGACTACAGGAAGCCATGCACACACTGATGCATCTGACCACGGACAAAAGTCACCTTAATCCCCTAGCGCTTTCTCTTTCTCTTTCCTTTCTCCTCCTCCTCCACTCACACACACACACTCACACACATTTCTCTTCCGCTAACTCACCTCCACCTCCCCTCATATGTGGTGTATGTAGCTGGAGGCTGTGGACGAGGTACATCAAATGGGAGAGGAGCTGACAGCCAAGGTGGGCAAGCTCCAGTCCACTCTCCAGAGAATCAACGCTCCCAACATGAAGGCTCTGGAAAAGTACGTCGTCATTTACCACGACTGTCTTTTAAAAAATCACATTCATCAATTTAATGTTATGAGGAAACAAACAAACCCTGACCTGCTAATACAGTGGAACCTCTGAATAATAGGGGACACCATGGGGCCAACGATGATGTCATCCCTATCTCGGAGGTCAAATAATACACCTTTAAGTATTAGCATGGGATTAAAACAAGTGTCCTTTATAAAGAGGTGGTCGTCCCTATCTCGGAGGTTCCCTTATCGGTGGTTCCACTGACCACTGTAGACAACAGGAGATACAGTTTTATGGTCACACCAAACATGGCAATAACTAAGTTTTCTCACTCAATCATCTGCATCAACATTTCTGCATGGCTCTTGTGTCCTGGTCAAAATTTATTAAGGGAATATGACAGTAATATAAAACTTACTGAAAATGGAAACTTTAGCACAGGGGCCTATTGAAATTTATCCCTTACATATGTACACCATTCCCTTAAGTATCTGATGCATTATTGGCCCAGATTGGAGGGTGTGGAGGTTCGTCTGCAGGAGTCCTCTGAGGCTTTCGAGAGGTCTCGAGAGGTAGCCAAGAAGTCCAAGATGGAGTACGAGAAGGTCAAAAAACAGAGGTGTGTGTATAGTACGGTGGAATCTGTACACTGTAATATCAGTGAGATTTGCGTTCCAGATATGACCGGTTCCAAGATGCCTTTGAACATGTGTCAACCATCATTGATGACATATACAAGGTATAGGTATATAGCCTTTTTGTGTTCTGCGTTCAAATCTGTTTGTGTCTCTGCAGAAACTGTCTAACAACACTAGTGCACAAGCTTTCCTGGGGCCAGAAAATGCAGAGGTACGTTAGTACGTGATACACAGTAGTGTTAAGTGAAGAGAGGTGGATACTGGGAGAGCGTGTTGTCCTCCACAGGAGCCATACCTGGAAGGAATAAGCTACAATTGTATTGCTCCTGGGAAGAGGTTCCGACCAATGGACAATCTGTCAGGAGGAGAGAAGACTGTGGCAGCCCTCGCCCTACTGTTCTCCATACACAGGTCATCACCTGCTATTACCATACACCATACAGTGGAACTTCTGAGTAATGACACGTTAAGACCAGGCAGTTTGTTTTTTTAGGGAGGTGGTCCTCTCTTAAATGTACGCAATGATAAACAATTGTGTGGACACGAAAGTGTGCTTTATTCAGAATTTGTGTCCTTTATTCGGAGCGTCCTTAATCGCTACTGTATTAGTGAACCCCTATCTGCCTAAATGCTTAAAGTGAAGCTTTTCGTGCCTCTAGGAAAGCAATCCACAAAATTTTAATGCACGTTTTTGGACTCCAAATTTAGTGGGTATACTGTTTGTCTGTAGTGTGGTTGTAGCGAACTGTCTCCATCTGCAGCTACCAGCCAGCTCCGTTCTTTGTCCTGGATGAGATTGACGCAGCTTTGGACAACACCAACATCAACAGAGTAAGCCCCTGCCAATTCCAGTCTCTTCCACTGAGACAATGTATTACCTGTGTGTGCAGGTGGCGCGGTACATAATGCAGGAGACGACCACCAGTTTCCAATGTATAGTCATCTCACTGAAGGAGGAGTTCTACTGCCACACTGACGCTCTCATTGGAATATACTCTGAGGTTTGAGCATTTGCTAGTATAACAATGATGTGCCCAAGGTGAAAAAACCACCATAACATGTTTATCGAATAACTATTAACTTCACTGTGTTGTCAACGCTACTCCTAACTGGTACTGTACTAATAGGCGTTGGAGTGAAGTGGTGTCTGTCAAACTTACATATATAGTATATGTAGTTCTTCAATGCATGAGTGTGTAAGCCTTGTCTTGACCTATACCACCTGCAGGCTGGAGGAGAGTGTACCGTGAGTAGGACTCTGACCCATGACCTCACACAGTACCCCAGTACCATCTCCGCTGCATCTCCTGCCAAACCAAGGGTTCACTGAACACCAAATAACACCCACTAGCCTAATAAACCACTCTAGCAAGATACTCTACAGTAGCTTCTATACACCGAACTTCATGCTTCATTCATTCTTATTCACACCACATTAGGAATTTTGGAAGCGTGCAAAGCGCAAAAACAGACTCTGTAAAAAATTATCCACACTGTGAACAATGACACACAATCCCAACAAAATAATATAGTGTTACCAAAAAATTATTCAGTCATTATAGAGCATGCATAGTGTCAAGTGCTCTGGCTGAGGTAGTTACAGAGTGAGGAGAAGAGTTTCTGGATGAGGTCAGAGGTGCCCAGGAACTCCTCGGCCATGAACGGCATGACGGACGAGCCAACCTGGTGGATGTAGGTCACCTCACACGACATTTGGTCCTCTGACTCCCCCTCATCATCGGGTGGACAGTCCCTCAGAATGTAGCCTGATGAGATCACCTGTAGTTTGTGTGTAATAGTCCGATTATAGTTGAACTACAAGGTGCATAGAAAGAGGCAAAAGCACAATTTACGAAGGACCAAAATTGTGCAAGTCATATATGTGAACGGATCAAGTAAAAATAGGGTGTATATACGCCACATTATAATGTTTCCCTGTATCCGCGAGCATAGTACACGGGCGGAGGGGAAATCCCATACGTAGAGCGCAATGCGCGTTGCGCGTAATGCTCTCGCGCGGTTCTGGTGTGGCTAGTCGCCATATCGCGCATGCAAATTATCTATTCGTTGTACTACATAATTCATTCACAAACTCAAACTTGTCCTTGTGTGTCATAGCCCCTTTGATGCGCTCACATATAATGTTACTTGATGCGCTCACATATAATGTATGTGTGAACTACGAGGTAGAATGGCAAAGGCATAAGTCAACTACACCCATGAATAGGGAGACCAGAGATTGCTTTGGCAATTGGCAATAGGAAAAGTGAGCTATATAACATAATGTGTAACATGTGTACACACGCTCCTATTGCCCAAGCCCTCTGTGGGTCTCTTCACCTAGTACGTACTTTAACACTGACCACACCAAAATTTACACATACATACGTGTGATCGATCGTAGCTGTCCAGCTCAGGGAGATCTTTATAGAGGACTGAACGGTAGGCCACTGCATTCAGCTGGTACCTGTCAAAACACTGGTTGAGAGGAAAATGTGGATGTACACCCTTACCCATCATATTCCATTCTTGGCCTCTCGGAGGCTAACAGGACAAAGTCTTTCGGTCGTTTGTCAGGTTGAGGGCTTTTCATGGCCAGGTGGATTAGATGGTTGTCTGGAGTGATGTCCCTCACCACACGAATGTGCCTAATACAGAAGTGTACATACAAAACATGTAGAAGAGAGCTTTGCCTAGAGGGCTGAGTTTTGAGTCCCAGTTGTTCTGGGTACCTGGTTTTAACTTGCTAATTGTTTTTTTTCCATACCCAACACACATCAGCTATTCTCATGTGTGCATCCATAGCAGTGCGGCCCATGGCTTGCTTTGCTACTACGTTTACTTACACACGGTATCATTGTCTTCAAATATCTATTGTCATAGTTTAAGGGAACGTGGCAGTATATACAAGGGCTAAATTAAAGATGAACAATAGGAGCACAGTGAAAGAATGCAATTGAGTTCCGTTTTTATATTATTGTACCGCCACATTCCCTATAAGTGGCACTGGTAATGCATACACACCCCAACACACTTGCACATGAAGTCCCAGGCTGTTCTGTCGGAGTGGTTGAGGAGTTTGCTGAACGCCTGTGCAGCAGTCACGCCTGCCACCGAGCTGCTGACACGCACCACCAGAGTGGCATCCGTCTGGTGCTTCCTGATGGAGAACTGCACACAATAAGACACAATAACAAAGTCATACAGTCATAATACCAGAGACATTAACAGAAGAGAATATACTGTAAACAACAACAAAAAGCCACAGGCAATACATTAAAATGGGGACACGTGTGTTAGTGTAACTCATATGCTAAGAGCTATGTGAATGAAAATTTGTATATTCAGTGACCACTATAAAAAAAAACAATATATGTTTATAAACAACAGGGATTTTTTCCTCCTCAAACTTGTTAACGGTAGCACCCATGGAGATGAAACTTGGTATGCATGCATAATACTTGTTTCCATGACGAAAATTGTATAGATGTACTGACACATCCACTGCTTTCTCGACTTTTGGTCATCTTATGTTGTACGGGTCAGAGTTCGATGAGTTCTTTTTGGGACGGACAAGTCGCGGTCGCTAACATGTAACACAATAATATTTTCTCTGATTTATTGAGAACACCCAATGTACTGGAGTACAGCTTCAAGAGGTATATACTGACAATGAAGCTTTAAAAAGGAAGCCCCCCAAAGACATGGACGTTTTAAAAGGAAGCCCCCAAAGACATTCTCAAGCTACAGCGAATTTAGTGCAGCCGAACTGGGGCAGATCTTTCCCAAGGTCCACGTGGGAGGTAAAGTCACAAGGGCGAGGACACACTGTATGCAAAAAATATTATTGGACAGACGACAAAGATAATCAATACACCCGAACATCTGTCAGTTGATGCCTTGACCCTCATCTCAAAAAGCGCGTTAATGAACTGGAAGAGAGCTTGCACAAAGTTGAGGTGGCCCTATTCGAGAGGGTAAGTCGGTGTCGGTTGGTTGTGTGAAGTGTAAATGCCCAAGCTTGTGTATGTCAGTTGCTAATTAATGTGAAGATTTTTTAATGGTGTTTGGTATTCCATTTACTTCCACAACCACACCGCCTTTTCCTGGCAGATGGCTCATTAGACATTCTTCAGAGTACCTTGTCCACAGTTCAGGTAGAAAGAAAGGGCTCGTTCGTGAGTTCTTTCGCAAATGCATTCGATGTGGTGTAGCCAAAGCTAGGGAGCCTTATCTATATAGGAGGCATTGTAGAAAACATTGTCTCTCTCTCTGTCTCTCATCAGCATGTTTGCATAACCACTTACCCAAATACACCAAGTACACCAAGAAGGAAAAGAAAAATAGAACGTAAGTTTACAAACTTCTGTTTATTATACATCTTTGTAGTCTGAAGCCTTACAACATCAAAGGAAAAAGTATTACTACAAATCCTGCAGTTGCAAACTATCAGTTATGATAATACACTGCATGACCTTCTCGAACTTTCCCTGCGCCCAATAATTTCCAGATAGTACTCCCGCCGGTACTTTAACTAGTACATAAAGCTTGTTTGAGATACGTAGGTGCTATATATTTCTGTTCCATCTCTTCCAGGAACATGGGAAACCTTAGTGAAGGAGCTACCTGAAGAATTGACTAAAGATTTACAAGAGCTCCCCAATTTGCTGGATGAACTGGGAAATCTCTCTGTGTTTCAACTAATTCCTGAACGCGTGCAGAAATTGGGTTTAATTGATGTACTGGGTGATAAATCTCCCCTGGTAGCAGCCATCATGGAGCGTGTAAAGGTGAGTGCTGGGGCACCTGGCAGTTACGTTGACCAGGCCTTGAACTACGAACTTCCCCCAAGAACTCAATTGACCCACAGAGAACACTTTGCCATGTGAGATAAAGCAGCAGAAAGGGACTAGCATTCTACAAGACGATACCCTTCTAGCTCTCTCTCGGCTTCCCTACGAGAACCCCCAGTAGCTGAAGTAGATGCAACTGAGGCTTGGTCGAGGTCATGAGCCGGTTCTTCTTTGCACTAGCTGTGGTAGTACTGCCTCTAGATAATTCCTTACTGGCTTTAGCTAATTCCTTACTCAATCCTGAACGTGTGCAGAAATTGGGTTTAATTGATGTACTGGGTGATAAATCTCCCCTGGTAGCAGCCATCATGGAGCATGTAAAGGTGAGTGCTGGGGCACCTGGCAGTTACGTTGACCAGGCCTTGAACTACGAACTTCCCCCAAGAACTCAATTGACCCATTATGATGTGGTGAATCACACAGAGAACACTTTTTTCCGCCCCGCACGGGCTTCGTTCGCGATATTGTTCCACCTGTGGTCCCATCGAGAGCCTTCCCTTGCAGGGTCCTTTCTTCATTTTGTACCCGCCAGGCCTCGCTGGCCGATGCAACGGCCTACTGGACCTGTCGGCACCCCGCAGGGTCCCCAGTTCTCTATCTCTCTTCTCTACTTGTATGCCCCGCACGGGCTTGCCGCAACATTTTGCAGTCTTCACTGTAGTGACTCATTTATGTCATGCAGGAACAACGCCAACGTTTCCGCCATCGGGTGGCTCTGGCCTTAATCTACTGCCCGGTCGGGCACAGTAGGGAAAAGGGAAGGCTCCTTCCGCTGGCTCAGTGCTCCCCCCCCCCCAGCCTGTCCTGCAAGGGGCCGTACAACCCGGCTGCGGTCCACGAAGTTAGCAAGAGGATACTAGACTTGGAGTTCGTTGAGATGTCAGATATCTCCCTCGATGACCTCCCGTCCCACACCCAGGACAGCCCCCCTCCCAGCTCGCCCTCCGATCCAGAACATCTCGGTCTTGATCGAGAAATTTTCAGTGATGGCCGCCCTTATCTCGTCGCGGTTCCCGGAGAGAGAGCTCTTCGTCTATCGTTCGGGAGGAGAGGAATTTTGATGATTGGCGGTGGGTGCAAGGGCACAGAAAAATCTGGACTGGTCAGTACGGACGCCGAGAAGGTACAACTACTTTGAGTAGCGACTGCTGCAATGGAAGTCCGCAAAATTCGCAATGGAAGTCACGCAATGGAAGTCCGCAATGGAAATGTGGTCGAGCAAAAACACACACGGTCCCGAGCACGAGCCATGCGCAAGGTCTCCTCCCTGGCCGGCCCCTATATATATAGTCAGGCTAGCCTAGCCGCCCTGAGCTCAGCAGCAGGGGGACCGGGTCGGTAAGGGGGATCGGGTGTGGTACGACACGTTCGCGTCATAACATCTTGGCGGGAGCAGCGCCTTGGAACTCTGGAGATGGGACATTACGCGGCTTAGTGTCAGAGTACCTCCAGCAACGGTAGATCTACTCACACGCGTAATTATAACGCTCCTGAGCATCGCACGCGGAGAAGGAAAAGATAGAGAAGGAGGCTAGTGCGCACTCTTCCTGCCGTGCGGGGCCGGCTCTCTATATAGCTGGTAGTTAGCTAGAGCTCTGAGGCGAGAGAGGGGGACGGGGCGCGGGCGCAGGTGCGAGAGCGGTTGCGTACAGGCGCATGCGCATTAACCACCACGTGTACCGTGGGTCTCTGAGAAAGAGTGGCAATGTCGAAGTCGACCTCTTCAAGCAGAAGGTCTATTATTACGAGATCGCGAGCAGCGAAGATAAGCAGTAGCATCTCTGCAAAGGCAGCTAACTCCAGTCACTCCTCACCTTCGTCAAGTGCTGATGAGGTTTCTGGACGAGAAAAAGGTATAATGTTCATATGAGTTGCTTTTTCTACACTCACGATTGCTGATGGTATTGCAGCAATGAAGAAGTATATGAAAATTGCCTTTCAAGCAACCGAAGAGAAAAGCAAAGCATGCTCAACGCCGAAAATTCGCCTAGAACATGACTTCGACCTGGTACCTATGTGTGAGGCCATATGTGATTCTATTGCATGTGCACAAGGTGGCGCTACTCGCGCGCCTACACAAACCCTCCTGCAGTGTTGTCACGAGGTTGGCCCCAAATCCTTCATCTGCTCTCTACTACTCTGCCCCACCTGCAGCAGTAGGAGAGACCTTGGGCCATACCTTTCACATTCACAAAGTATTGCCTATGGTAGTAGAATCAAAGTGTGCATTTGCTGTTAGTAGTGCTGTGATGGAGGAGGTGAGAGTGATGAGGAGTAGCTCTGAGAAGTGAGAGCATTTGTGGTGTTTTTTTGTGCTGTGGTGGAAGTGTGTATAATAATATTGCAATGCAGATATCTGTTGGAGATGAGCCTGAGCATTTGTTCTAGATAGAGATTCCACTGCAGATGACTTGATGCCGCCTTCTCTAGGCTTGATGACATTTCGCGGTATCATGCGAAAATCTATTGATCATGTAAGTTGATCTGCCTGCTGAGCTCTAATCTCTCTCCTGTTTATATCTAGGCTGGAAGGATGCTCTGAGGATGATGTTATCTTGCTTCGCTGAGGTCAGGGAGTAGGATTGGAGGGGAGGATTTCCCCCTATCAGTGAAGGGTGAAGACCAAATTACACTCCCCTGGACATTATGGAACTACATAAAGCTCTGTGGCGCAACATATCCATCATCCATCAAGAGTTCGCCTCTCCGTTAAAAAAGCTTGTGGATATGCCACAATGCATCATGCTATACAGAGACTGAACCAAGCCAACAAACACAATTGACAAAATTACATGTGTGAATGATGGCGCCACATTGAGCACTGACGTACTTTTGTGTTTTCTTGTATTGGGTATTAGTTTTTGACCGATTTTGCAACTTCATTGTGCGAACTTTTCGTTCAGAGAAATACCTTTCTTTACCGAAAGAAGATGCATCAGGAGAAGTTGCTCCAGATGATCTTCCTGACCACTCGATTACAATTGAAGATGTTAAGGTTGTTGCAGCTACCATTACATGCTACAAATGTGGAATGGAACACTTTACTGAAAAATGTAAACCTCTCAAAAGTGCCAACATACTAATAGAAAACGGAAATGAGTACATTCAGCTAACAGCTTTTGACGGTATCTTTATGACATAATTGACAATGATGATGATGATATTACAGTTCCCTTGCTTCTATCTTCCATTCGTTTCATCATTGCAATCTACATCATAACCTCTGTTACTAGCTAGATAGTATTATGTACATTCATGTACATTGCATTTGAATTTTGAATCTTTATCTTACACATTTATTATAGTCATGAGTAAACCCCTGGCGCAATGCACATTGTAACTTTCCAAAACAATTTCCACTGCCATAGTTGCAGTAGCATCAAGCAACGGGATAACTTGAAAGAGCACGATTCAAAGAAAAATTAATGACAGTTAACGGTAGGTTAACCGAGGTTACGAGCCGCGGCGCCCAAAGAGAGAGAAGCAGGAGCATACGCCGGTAGGTGGCGAGCCAGCGTTGGGGTGTACCAACCACGTGGTCGTCATTATTGCCAGATACAGCCGTCGATGTGAGATCGTGCTCCCTTGCTGCTGATATTTTTCCTCTTCCTACGTCTTTCAGGTGTCGTACCACCCGCTCTTACGCGTGATGTCTCATGTTTGCCCTGGCACCTCTGCCGGGGCGGGATCCGACGAGACCAAATCTTCC